TCAGAGTCAGCAGTCAACACTACACACTGATGATCATAGGCCGTGTGCGTCAGAGTCACGAGTCGACACTACTTACTGGTGATCATAGGCCGTGTGCGTCAGAGTCGACACTACCCACAGGCGATCATAGGCCGTGTGCGTCAGAGTCACGAGTCGACACTACTTACTGGTGATCATAGGCCGTGTGCGTCAGAGTCACGAGTCGACACTACTTACTGGTGATCATAGGCCGTGTGCGTCAGAGTCACGAGTCGACACTATCCACTGGTGATCATAGGCCGTGTGCGTCAGAGTCCGAGAGTCGACACTACTTTCTGTGTAACCTTGGCCGTGTACGCTAGGGACAAGGTTCTATCCCTGAGGTCAATGACGTCATCATGTTTTCAAACCTGCTGTGAACTGTCTTGACAGAATCTTCATGACCCTGTTAGTGCTCGGAATCAACGAACACAACTTGCTAGCCTTCTTCTTCTTCTTCGTCCTTGATTGTAATGTTGGAATAGATTTTTTACACATTACCTGTCAACTTGTTATGTGCCATATTGATTCTAGACTCAGATATCAGCCTGCTATTCTTTATGGATTTGGTTCCATAGCCTTTGCCTACCCAAGAACAAACTAACAAAGCAGCAGTTGTTTTATTTTGTCCCAGATGAGTTGCTGTCCCCAGCTATCGAGCCTTATCTGACCGGGGGTTCGAACTCGATAAGTGATACAACTTTCCTGGTAGACACAAGATGTCAAGACTCAACCATGCCTAATCACACACAGTGTCGAGACTATTCAAGAACGTTGAAAAGTATATATCAATGTGTATAGTCCATTAAAAATCAAATTTCATGCAACCCCCGTCAGCCTTATACATGCTATCCTCATCATTGTGTGTTATACAATTATACCAATATTTTGAATCTAATTTGTAAAATATCATCATTGTGTGTTATACAATTATACCAATATTTTAAATCTAATTTGTAAAATATCATCATTGTGTGTTATACAATTATACCAATATTTTAAATCTAATTTGTAAAATATCATCATTGTGTGTTATACAATTATACCAATATTTTAAATCTAATTTGTAAAATATCATCATTGTGTGTTATACAATTATACCAATATTTTAAATCTAATTTGTAAAATATCATCATTGTGTGTTATACAATTATACCAATATTTTAAATCTAATTTGTAAAATATCATCATTGTGTGTTATACAATTATACCAATATTTTAAATCTAATTTGTAAAATATCATCATTGTGTGTTATACAATTATACCAATATTTTAAATCTAATTTGTAAAATATCATCATTGTGTGTTATACAATTATACCAATATTTCAAATCCAATTTGTAAAATATCATCATTGAGTGTTATACAATTATACCAATATTTTAAATCTAATTTGTCAGATATCCATTTACATAGCTACACTCTTACAAAGCAGGAAAATCTTGTCAAACTTTTAAAAGTAAATCTTCCTTTTAACTTTAAAAAAAAATACTTTTTTTTTTTACATATTGTCACCAGCTATTGACCAATTCATGTTTAGCTTGAAATTTATTTTCGTACACAATGGATAATTCAAAACGAAATTTCTTATGTCACCAGTGATATCTCCAAGTTTGTTTTTCTAAAATCAATGAGAAAATCGGCCACACTTTTGACGGATTAAATAACGCCACATCCGGCAGGAAAGTTGTTCCCTGATAAGACTGTGTTGGCCTCTCCCATTGTGCTGGTATTACGGGAATCCTGTTGTTTGTATTTGGGCAGGGTATTATCTGTTCTGTGTGAATGACTATTTGGGCAGGGTATTATCTGTTCTGTGTGAATATTTGGGCAGGGTATTATCTGTTCTGTGTGAATGACTATTTGGGCTGGGTATTATCTGTTCTGTGTGAATGACTATTTGGGCTGGGTATTATCTGTTCTGTGTGAATGACTATTTGGGCTGGGTATTATCTGTTCTGTGTGAATGACTATTTGGGCAGGGTATTATCTGTTATGTGTGATTTATCTGTTCTGTGTGAATGACTATTTGGGCAGGTTATTATCTGTTCTGTGTGAATGACTATTTGGGCAGGGTATTATCTGTTATGTGTGATTTATCTGTTCTGTGTGAATGACTATTTGGGCAGGTTATTATCTGTTCTGTGTGAATGACTTTTGGGCAGGGTATTATCTGTTCTGTGTGAATGACTATTTGGGCAGGGTATTATCTGTTATGTGTGATTTATCTGTTCTGTGTGAATGACTATTTGGGCAGGTTATTATCTGTTCTGTGTGAATGACTATTTGGGCAGGGTATTATCTGTTCTGTGTGAATGACTATTTGGGCAGGGTATTATCTGTTCTATGTGAATGACTATTTGGGCAGGGTATTATCTGTTCTGTGTGAATGACTATTTGGGCAGGTTATTATCTGTTCTGTGTGAATGACTATTTGGGTAGGGTATTATCTGTTATGTGTGATTTATCTGTTCTGTGTGAATGACTATTTGGGCAGGGTATTATCTGTTCTATGTGAATGACTATTTGGGCAGGGTATTATCTGTTCTGTGTGAATGACTATTTGGGCAGGTTATTATCTGTTCTGTGTGAATGACTATTTGGGTAGGGTATTATCTGTTATGTGTGATTTATCTGTTCTGTGTGAATGACTATTTGGGCAGGTTATTATCTGTTCTGTGTGAATGACTATTTGGGCAGGGTATTATCTGTTCTGTGTGAATGACTATTTGGGCAGGGTATTATCTCTTCTATGTGAATGACTATTTGGGCAGGGTATTATCTGTTCTGTGTGAATGACTATTTGCTTTACGTTGTTAAAGCGTTTTTAATTTTATCTCTGATAACAATAAAAAAAACACTTACTTTTTTCTTTGAAAGGTTTTACATAAAAAAAAAATACAAATGTTGATATTAGCACTAGATCTCTAACGTCTCATTTAACATGACTAAACTAGTCAAATCAAATAAACACCCGCAATAATAGCACACTACATCAGCCTCAACACCCCCGTCACGAAGTAACATCCCTAGCACCTCCTACCAAACGTGTTAAAGTCATCCTCACACACAACACAGCTCTCCCCCCCCCCCCCACGTGTTGAAGACAGTCACACACAACACAACACCATACCCCCCCCCCCACCAAATGTGTTAAAGACAGCTTCACACACAACACAGCACACCCCCACCAAACGTGTTAAAGACAATCTCACACACGACACACACACGTTTCTCTGCTCTGCTGATACCTAAAATAAAGGCACACGAGCGCACGTGATGAACGCGTCACCAAAATGACGCGACATTACTGCCGAATGACGTCACGACGCTAGCACTCCACGGTGGAATGCGCGCTCATCCCCTCTTACATGCAATGATGACAGTATCAGTGGAATGGCCGTGATTGATTTCATCGATCTTGTCGAAACTATCGATCTATTTGACCTTCAACACGTGCTGTGTTCGTGTGTTTATCGACGTGTGTGTGCTATGTGTGTGCGTGTGTTTATCGACGTGTGTGTGTGCTATGTGTGTGCGTGTGTTTATCGACGTGTGTGTGTGCTATGTGTGTGCGTGTGTTTATCGACGTGTGTGTGTGTGCTATGTGTGTGCGTGTGTTTATCGACGTGTGTGTGTGCTATGTGTGTGCGTGTGTTTATCGACGTGTGTGTGTGCTATGTGTGTGCGTGTGTTTATCGACGTGTGTGTGTGCTATGTGTGTGCGTGTGTTTATCGACGTGTGTGTGTGCTATGTGTGTGCGTGTGTTTATCGACGTGTGTGTGTGCTATGTGTGTGCGTGTGTTTATCGACGTGTGTGTGTGCTATGTGTGTGCGTGTGTTTATCGACGTGTGTGTGTGTGCTATGTGTGTGCGTGTGTTTATCGAGGTGTGAGTAAGACCAAATACCATTGCTGAGATTTCTCAACAAGTTTCCTCATACGGGTCTTTAGCTATGTAGGCTACTAACTCTGTACACACGAGTCTCTATAAAAGTAGTTTCCCTTTCAAACATGACGGTCTATGGGGCAAGTGAAGTAGAGTTCACTTGTTTCTGGCGGCTGGGCATAGCGCTGACCACACTATCTATTCATATGCCGAGGTCATAGAAACAAGTGAACGAGTCTCTGTGTAGGCAAGATTTTCTTCCAGGCATCCGCCCCCCCCCCCCCCTCTCCGAAAAAAGTCTACCCCCTCGAACGCCGAACGAAAAGGAATTTATATAGGAAACATATACTTTTACCAGTGTCCACCCCCCCCCCCCCCCGGAAAATGTTGTCCACCCCACGAAAATATCAAGTTCCCCCCGGACCCCGGAAGAAACACGGATGTAGGCTACCAACTCCTAACTGCCACAAGCATTTTTCCAAACTTATTGTTATCTGTGGCTGCAAGCTTTAGATGCTGGTGTTAATACACATTCAAATGTTAAAACAGAGCAGTGTAAACGTAAAAATTAAAAAAACTTTTTGTTCCTCCCATATCCGACTGGATCAGAGACCTATTTCAACGCCCAGCGCGAACTATCCATTTTACGCCCCCTCCCACCTTTTAATAGTTATTTGTATTGGTATAAAAAGCCCCCTCGCCCCCGGAAAAGTTGGTGGCGCGTTCTAGAAGTATTCATCCTGTAGCAGTTTTTATTTTGGTGCCACATATTTCATGTAGAAAACAGTCCAGAGTTAAAGTCTTGTAGCCGATTATTTTCTTGACTATGCGTATAATTCAATACTTCAGCTTAAATGCGCTTTTAATTTTTTTTCTACTCTTTTTGGCGCCCCTTAGGGTCGGCACTTGGGGCGCCCTCTGGAGTGGATACTTTACTTTCTAATTGCTACATGTCTGGTTTTTTTTATCTTTGCCGTAAGACGCGTTTAAAACATTTTTTTTTTCATAATTATTTAATTTGAATGAACCCAAACTTGTGAAGTGCTATTGAAGGTTAAATAATAATTAAATATTTTGTTGTTGTTTTGTTAGGATGATGAACGGCTACAACACGAGCATCCCACTCGCTAACGGACATGGGGGCACATTAGAGACCACTGGACACGGCACTGGGGTCACATCGCTGAGTAATGGACACGTCCCTGGGGTCACATCGCTGAGTAATGGACACGTCCCTGGGGTCACACCCCACCGTAGACATCCTGGCACAGACATCCCAAAGCTATGCGTCCAGCCCGACACGCCCGTCCCCCCCTCGAACCACGGCACACCCGGCCCGGGGGACAAAACCGGAAGTTTGCCTGCCATAACGCCACGCCCACTAGTGACCAACCCCAAGCATGTGCAGGTCAACACGACCCCAAGGAATACCGTGGACCCCAAATCTGGGTTCAACACGACCCCAAGGAATACCGTGGACCCTAAATCTGGATTCAGCACAGGTCGAAGTGTAGCCGTTTCTCTTGGGTACTCCAGGGTGAGCAGCACGATCCCCAACAAGCACCTGAAGCAAGGTCAAGGTCAGTTAACTCTGTCTGCCTCTACTCTATACATGCCTCTACTCTATACATGCCTCTACTCTATACATGCCTCTACTCTATACATGCCTCTACTCTATACATGCCTCTACTCTATACATGCCTCTACTCTATACATGCCTCTACTCCATACATGCCTCTGCCCTGTACATGCCTCTACTCTATACATGCTTCTACTCTATACATGCCTCTACTCTATACATGCCTCTACTCTATACATGCCTCTACTCTATACATGCCTCTACTCTACACATGCCAGCAACTAACTACTTAACTACTAAAGTAGGTTTTTGGGTTTTTGTTTCCCTCCTTAGATATTCCCTTCAGTGAGTGAACATTGTTAAAGCTCTAAGTATAACCATGGTAGTAGCACTAACCGTTTAAATTATTATTGGTTCAACCTATTTATATATACCCTTGACATAAAACAGAAAAACTACGACAAACAACATTTAAATTAAATATTAGTATCACTCTAAATGACTGGAAATATTTGTCAAAACAATATTTAAAAAAAATAAACATCTTCCTCTTCGTTCTTAATTCAATTTTTTTTGTAAGGTATTCCCTCCAAAATGCCATGAGCCATACAGTCTATGGACTTCGATTTCGGACTGCTTTTCTTTTTGGATTTGTTTCCATAGCCTTTGTCCAACCAAGAACATACTACACCAAGAACATACTACAAGGCAGCAGTTGTTTGATTTTGGAGTTTTCTTTCCTAGAGGAGTGGCTGTCCCCCAGCTAACGAGCCTCATCTGCCCGAGGGTTCGAACCCAAGATTCGAACCATGAGTTTTACCGACTCGACCACGCCCCCACAAAACACCAAACTTAAACATTTGAATAAAACCTCAATCGATGTAGAGAGCATGAGAAATTATCCCCCTTTCCTCCGGTTGCCTTAATAATCTAATCTAACCAAAATATTTAAAAAAATGTTTGTTTTGTCGGGGTCGAACATTTTGTGCCTCATTTTATTATATAACTAGAACAATTTTACTAAAATCTCTTCAAAGTTAATTAGTATTTTAAAAAAGAACACGAACTTGTGAATTTTTAAAATCATAAGTATTGAATATTGAAAGTACGCCTATATGTTCTGATACATCGCTTTTCTGGCATATTTAAATATAATCAGAAATAAATTTAAATTTAGGCCTAGACATGGGACGCCACGGTAGGGCGCTCTACTGCTCACCCGAAAGTCGGGAGATGGGATCTCGGTCTCAAGACTGCAGGGCGTCCATCCAGCTGGGATGGGTACTTAACTCACGTTAGGGAAAGTAAAGGCGGCTGGGCATAGTGCTGACCAAACGATCTTTTCATAGGCCGAGGTCACAGAGGCGAACTCTACTTCAACTGCCACGTGGACCGTCAGGTTTGAAAGGAAACTTTAAAAGGGCGGTACGACATACATAACCCCCCCCCCCCCCCCCCCACACACACACACACAAGAAGTTTCGCCACAGAAACGCTGACAGAAAACACTCGAACATGGCTTGCTTTAGGCAATCATCACAGTGTACGGGCTTGGTTTAGGAAGTGATTTTTGTGTGTGTGTAGGTTTTGGAAATCACCAGTGTGTAAGCGTTTTGAAAATTTGTGTCGAAGTGCTAATCTAGACATATTTTGATATAATTATATGACGTAATGTAACATGACGTCATGACGTAGACCAGGTTTGACAGTGTCAAGGTTAAAGTAACCACCTTAATGACATTGTGGTATAGGTCAAGTATCCCAAATGTCAAGGTTAGAGTAACACCAGGCCGCGTTAACCTGCAACAAAGGTCAAGGTTGCAGGGTTAAGACCTGGCTATTTATGTTAATTGATAGTTAATTAGGTAGTTAATTAGGTAGTTAATGATGTCCTTGGCACACTGCAATAAACAAAGTTGTAATGAAAATCAGATATATGCTGTTGTAACTAAATGAGATGAGAAAATCATTGAAAGAATGAGATCTATCGTTGAGTATCAAGTCAAAACATTGTTTACATTTTAACATACTCTAATGTCATTGTATTACTTACATGCACTACTTACACATTGTATACACGTTTCCTCAGATATTCAAGACGGCTACGGGCCCCAGTGTATCCCCCTGGGTCCCCGACAAGGCCACGCCCCCCAGAACTTCACCCAGCCCACCCCCAGCAGTAGCTGCAACAACGGGAAGCCTTTCGTCTTCTCCAGGGCCAACCAGAACCCTCTGGACAACTTCAGCAAGTTTTCCCGGGCCTACAACATCGGAAGTGACGTCACCAGCGGGATGGGGCACATCTCGCTCCCTCCACTGCTGAACCTCTTCTCCGACACCCCCACCCCCAGCGAGGTGTCCAGCATAGCCCCGGGGTCCGGGCGACAGCAGCCTCTATCAGCGTCCTCCAACAACCCCGGCCACGGGCCAGCCACCAATGGCATGATCCCGTCCCCCATGCACAGGAGCTCTCTCCAAACTCCACGAAGCGTGGCCAGTACGCCAAAGTCTGTTCAGAACGGAGACTCGTCCAACAGTCACGTTTTCCTGGAGCCGGCTCTCCCCAAACAGGACTGGCTCCACTATAAACCTCTGCCGTCGACGACATCCTCCACCGTCGATGGCAGCGACAACGACTCCCAGAGCATAGCAGTGCCGGGCAGTGCCATCTCCAACTACCCCCGGTCCGAGGTGTCCAACTACCCCCGGTCCGAGATGTCCGGCTTCCCCAGCCCCCGGCACTCGGCCAACATGCAGGTCAGGAACTCGCAGAAGCGAGCTCTCTCCATCTCACCTTCCCTGTCAGACGGCCTTGACCTGAACCACATCCGCCTGTCCCCCACCTCCCTGGGACCGTACCTCCAGTCGAGGAACTCCTCCACTAGCGGCTCCCCCCAGCCCGGTCAGCTCGGCTCCTTCTCCCACCTCTCGGCCAGGAACAGCAGCCCCTACTCCCAGACCGGCTCTGGACAAAAGCGCGTCAACTACACGCCGTTTAGCATCCAGTCAGGTCTGAAGAACGAGAACGTGGACTTTCTTGGGATGGGAGCTTCAGAAAACAGCGTCTTTGAAGAGATTATGCGGAACTCTTTTGTCGCTAGGCGGGACGAGATGCCTTATATTGAGCAAAACTGTGCTATGGGGATTTTCCCAACTGGCATGGGGTTGGATAATTTTTTTAGTGAACAGATTGAAAACACTGATTACAATACTGGTCTGGGGGCTATGGAGACCAGCTGCATGATGAATGAAGGAATCAACGCAGCCAACACCAGGGTCATGCAGTCCAGCGTAGGTACAGGCGTGTCTTTAAACAGTATACCCCCACCCCCATTGTACAGTGAAGCCATGGAACAACAGCGCAACCATCACCATCACCACAACCAACCGTACCACAACCATCACCATCTCACACCCCAACACGGCACCATCTCTCAAGCTCACAATAACGCCAGCCCCCACCAACAGACTGGTTTGGGTTCGAACCTCATCAACACCAACATGCAGGTGGTTAACCCGGTAGCGCCTGCAGGACTGACGGGTATCCCCATGGTCATGAGCCCAGCATCCGCGGGCATCACGGGGTTGAGCCCCGCCTATGTCCCCGACAGCGGGACCCAGACGGGCGGGCAGCGGGGGGAGGAGGGGGAGGAGGATGACCCTAACGTGTGTCGCTGGGTGGACTGTGGCCAGCTGTTCGCCGAGCAGGAGGAGCTGGTGCGGCACCTGGAGAAGGCGCACATCGACCAGCGCAAGGGCGACGAGTTCACCTGTTTCTGGCAAGGCTGCCCTCGCCGGTTCCGCAGCTTCAACGCTCGCTACAAGCTGCTCATCCACATGAGGGTACACTCGGGGGAGAAGCCAAACAAGTGCACGGTTAGTTCCCTTCTTGCTTTACTGATTGGCATAGTTCATTTTATTTCTTGACTGTCTGACATGGTTAGCCCCATTGGTTGGACTGACATGGTTAGCCCCCTTGGTTTGACTGACATGGTTAGCCCCCTTGGTTTGACTGTCTGACATGGTTAGCCCCCTTGGTTTTGGCTGACATGTTTAGCCCCCTCGGTTGGACTGACATGGTTATCCCCCTTGTATTTACTATCTGACATGGTTAGCCCGCTTGTATTTACTATCTAACATGGTTAGCCCCCTTGTTTTGACTAACATGGTTAGCCCCCTTGTATTTACTGTCTGACATGGTTAGCCCCCTTGTATTTACTGTCTGACATGGTTATCCCCCTTGGTTTGACTGACATAGTTACCCCCCTACTCTTATATTATCGTTATTTTTTACGACCACCTCATACTTGTGGCAGTCATGACCTTGGCCTTGAACTATTTATCTGGTCACGTGGTACAGAGATGAGAACATAGAAATATGGGAGGGGGGGGGGGGTTGGCGCACACAGGATTGTGTTTTGTTTGTTTAATCAGTGGATAGTACCAAAAAAAAATTAAGCGTGTCACTGAATATCCCCTTACAACAAACATATTGATACTCTTACATTTAAACACACCACTATTGACATTCGAATATCTAAACATAATGAAAATAATATGCAAACATCTTAAACACACTAATATAATAATACAAACATCTTTAACACACTAATATAATAATACAAACACCTTTAACACACTAATATAAAAATGCAAACATCTTTAACACACTAATATAAAAATGCAAACATCTATAATAATAGTTTCGCTGTCTGTCTATCTATCTATCTATCTATCTATCTATCTATCTATCTATCTATCTATCTATCTATCTATCTATCTATCTATCTATCTATCTATCTATCTATCTATCTATCTATCTATCTATCTGTCTGTCTGTCTGTCTGTCTGTCTGTCTGTCTGTCTGTCTGTCTGTCTGTCTGTCTGTCTGTCTGTCTGTCTGTCTGTCTGTCTGTCTGTCTGTCTGTCTGTCTGTCTGTCTGTCTGTCTGTCTGTCTGTCTGTCTGTCTGTCTGTCTGTCTGTCTGTCTGTCTGTCTGTCTGTCTGTCTGTCTGTCTGTCTGTCTGTCTGTCTGTCTGTCTGTCTGTCTGTCTGTCTGTCTGTCTGTCTGTCTGTCTGTCTGTCTGTCTGTCTGTCTGTCTGTCTGTCTGTCTGTCTGTCTGTCTGTCTGTCTGTCTGTCTGTCTGTCTGTCTGTCTGTCTGTCTGTCTGTCTGTCTGTCTGTCTGTCTGTCTGTCTGTCTGTCTGTCTGTCTGTCTGTCTGTCTGTCTGTCTGTCTGTCTGTCTGTCTGTCTGTCTGTCTGTCTGTCTGTCTGTCTGTCTGTCTGTCTGTCTGTCTGTCTGTCTGTCTGTCTGTCTGTCTGTCTGTCTGTCTGTCTGTCTGTCTGTCTGTCTGTCTGTCTGTCTGTCTGTCTGTCTGTCTGTCTGTCTGTCTGTCTGTCTGTCTGTCTGTCTGTCTGTCTGTCTGTCTGTCTGTCTGTCTGTCTGTCTGTCTGTCTGTCTGTCTGTCTGTCTGTCTGTCTGTCTGTCTGTCTGTCTGTCTGTCTGTCTGTCTGTCTGTCTGACAAGAACGCTCTAGAGAAAACATAAGGAAATTAAAAACTTGCACAGTGAAACGAAAACGAAGTATGACGTCGACACATTTAGCATAGAGTTGAAAATAATATCAAGGCGGAAAGTGCACACAGTAATGTAATGACGTCATTGATTATCGCGTAAACATTGAATAAAAAGGAAATGTTGTCTAATCTAAATGGTTTGCGTGAAGAGTTTCTTGCATACAATTCTTCGGGTAGGGGTGAAGCCCCACCCCCCGCGTAAGAACGTCTGAGGGGGGTGGGGGGGGGTGGGGGTTGAGTGGGGGGTGGTTTTAATTTAGACTTTTTCCTCCCCGGAGAGGGGTGGGGGTACTTGAAATTTTCGGGGGCGGGGGTAGAATTTTCGGGGAGGGGGCGGACACTGGAAAAAGTATATAATTATATTTCGTTGAATGGGACGGTAGACATGTCTTTTTTGGGGTGGGGGGTGGGGGGGGGGTGGTGTGTGTGTGGGTTGGTGTGTGTAGGGGTGGGGGTGGGGGGTGGTGTGTGGGGGGGGGGGGGTTGGGGTGGTGTGGGTGGGGGTGGGGGTGGGGGGGGGGGTGGGGGTGGGGGGGGTGGGGGGGGGTGGTTTTTGTTTAGAGAAAAGAGACAGCACTATCAACCTAGCGCCCGGTGTATCCTTCCTCAACGGGCCATTTTTCTCGTCTTTAATATAAAAATGCAAACATCTTTAACACACTAATATAGAAATGCAAACATCTTTAACACACTAATATAAAAATGCAAACATCTTTAATATAAAAATGCAAACATCTTTAACACACTAATATAGAAATGCAAACATCTTTAACACACTAATATAAAAATGCAAACATCTTTAATATAAAAATGCAAACATCTTTAACATAAAAATGAAAACATCTTTAACACACTAATATAAAAATACAAACATCTTTAACACACTAATATAAAAATGCAAACATCTTTAATATAAAAATGCAAACATCTTTAATATAAAAATGCAAACATCTTTAAAATAAAAATGCAAACATCTTTAAAATAAAAATGCACACATCTTTAAAATAAAAATGCACACATTGAAACCACAAGTTTCAAATGTGTGATGTATTGTAAAGCCAGCAGCTTAGAATAATTCTATCACTAGGGCACCGTGTCTTAGGCTAGAGTTTTGTCCCCATATTCCCCCGCTCTATTATCGCCCCTTATTTTGTCAAGGCGTTGGTTACATTTCCAGCGATCGATCGATCGGCGTTTGATTAGGCAAGTGATCGGCTTTTTTAGTTGACGTCTTAATTTAGAGCCGGTGATATCAGGAGCCATTGACGTACATGTTTCCAGGATGCGGGGAGGGTGTGGTGAAGGAAGGGGGGGGGGGGGGGGGGGTTGTTCAGGGGTAAGGGGCTGTTTGCTTCTGAAGTTTTCTTTGATTAAGGAGTGGCAGTAAGGCTGTTACCTCAATCGGCAGTAAGGCTGTTACCTAAATCACCTCAATCGGCAGTAAGGCTGTTACCTCAATCGGCAGTAAGGCTGTTACCTCAATCGGCAGTAAGGCTGTTACCTCAATCGGCAGTAAGGCTGTTACCTAAATCACCTCAATCGGCAGTAAGGCTGTTACCTCAATCGGCAGTAAGGCTGTTACAATCGGCAGTAAGAAGATTTGTGTAATACCACCTCACACTAGAGCCTTATGACATACACTATGCTACATGTAGTCGTGTCTGCCACGGTAGCTTTAGACAAAGTTTGAAACAACATGCTAACATTCCACACAAAGGCCTGCACACTGTGTTGTGCATCTTCTGTCAGCTGATAATTATGTCAGCAATGATACATTATGCGTTTCAATTTTTCGTCGAGTCAAATATGATCATGCTTCTCTCCCATAGTGACCATATCATCTATGGTTCTCTCCCTTGTTATTTGTCTCTACTTATCTCTCTTGATATTTGTGTCTACTTCTCTCCCTTGATATGTGTGTCCAGTTTTCTCCCTTATTATTTGTGTCCACTTCTCTCCCCTGTTTTTTGTATCTACTTCTCTCCCTTGTTATTTGTATCTACTTCTCTCCCTTGTTATTTGTGTCCAGTTCTCTCCCCTGTTATTTGTATCTACTTCTCTCCCTTGTTATTTGTGTCTACTTCTCTCCCTTATTATTTGTATCTACTTCTCTCCCCTGTTATATGTATCTACTTCTCTCCCTTATTATTTGTATCTACTTCTCTCCCCTGTCCCACCACCCCAGCCTCTGTATTCCCAGCCTCCAGGTCATCAACCCCTCACTGGCGACTTATCAAAACCAACAACAGCACTTTCTCTTACACAAACATTCCCGACATTCGCCCGTCTCGCTTTATAGAGTTCATCACAACAAAACTGACCTCGACCGTTTGGCGGGGTTAAAGCCTACTCGCTGTACAGACACCCCCCCCCCCCCCCTGTTCGACCCTAATGGTCAAGAAGTGAGCAGTTGTCTGAAGTTTTGGAATGGTCATCTGCGCGTGAGAGACGACTGTTTTTGCCTTGTCCACTTTCGGTGCGTTAAATAGCCCGTAGATGTGGACATAATGGGGTCAGTGGTAGACAGCTGTCTGTAGTGTTCGTTGTTTCAATTACTTTTAGAAACTTTCTGACTGCCATTGATTGTTACAATCACTTTTAGAAACTTAGCAGCTATCTGTAACGGTTAGACCAGGTGCAAGCATTATACAAGAGACTCATTTGAGTGTCACTCACTCAGGTTCAATGTCACAGTGCTGATTGATGGGGTTGTGCGTCACGTGGATGGTTGAGGGGGTTGTAGGTCACGTGGATGGTTGAGGGGGTTGTAGGTCACGTGGGTGGTTGAGGGGGTTGTAGGTCACGTGGGTGGTTGAGGGGGTTGTAGGTCATGGTGATTGTTGTTAGGGTTTAGCTCATGTGGATGGTTGTTAAGGTTTAGCTCATGTGGATGGTTGTTAGGGTTTAGCTCTTGTGGATGGTTGTTAGGGTTTAGCTCATGTGGATGGTTGATAGGGTTTAGCTCATGTGGATGGTTGAGGGGATGGAACATGAGACGGACCATCGTGTATGATTGGCTCTGTTGATTTGGTGGGCAGTGGTTTGGTGGGCTGTGGTTTGGTGGGCAGTGGTTTGGTGGGCTGTGGTTTGGTGGGCTGTGGTTTGGTGGGCTGTGGTTTGGTGGGCAGCGGTTTTACACAGTATCTTGATATCACTATCTTGTAATGACTTTGGCAAAAATCAAGTTTAAATCTAACACCTACTTGGATAATGCGAAGATAGCTGTACAATCATGCCATGTGTAAAACAAAACTGAACGAATAAAGGCGCATTGTGTTCACATAGGCAAACAGCCAATAAATCAAACATCCAATACATCAAACATCCAATACATCAAACATCCAATACATCAAACATCCAATAAATCAAACATCCAATACATCACACATCCAATAAATCAAACATCCAATAAATCAAACATCCAATACATCAAACATCGAATACATCAAACATCCAATAAATCAAACATCCATTACATCAAACATCCAATACATCAAACAGCCAATAAATCAAACATCCGTTAGAGTTAAATAAAATGTCCGTTAAATCCACCATCCGTTAAATGAAGCATCCGTTAATTTCCGTTAAATGAAGCATATTTTGAGTCACCGAATGTTTCTACTGTATGGACCCAGCAAATGAGGCCAAGAGAATAGCACCTTGACAGATTTACAGGTAGTTTGTGTTTAATGAACAAATGTTCACACCTATAGAGACACCTGGGTATTTGAACTTCGTCTGGAATTATTTGCATTTCAGGGGCATAAATCTCTGTCGATGTTTCCAAACTGGTGACAGTTGTTTACATTTTATAAATCACTACTTGAAACTGTTGGAAGAAAATACTTTTTTAGGATGTTGTCAAAATATCTTGTATACTGTTTGTACTGTGCACTTTTTAAAGTAGTAGGGCAAACATTGTGCTTTAAGTAGTAGGGCAAGAATTGTGCTTGAAGTGGTAGGGCAAGCATTGTGCTTTAAGTAGTAGGGCAAGCATTGTGCTTGAAGTAGTAGGGCAAGCATTGTGCTTTAAGTAGTAGGGCAAGAATCGTGCTTGAAGTAGTAGGGCAAGCATTGTGCTTGAAGTAGTAGGGCGAGCATTGTGCTTTAAGTAGTAGGGCAAGAATTGTGCTTGAAGTATTAGGGCAAGAATTGTGCTTGAAGTAGTAGGGCAAGAATTGTGCTTGAAGTAGTAGGGCAAGCATTGTGCTTTAAGTAGTAAGGCAAGCATTGTGCTTTAAGCAGTAGGGCAAGCATTGTGCTTTAAGCAGTAGGGCAAGCTATGTGCTTGAAGTAGTAGGGCAAGCATTGTGCTTGAAGTAGTAGGGCAAGCATTGTGCTTTAAGTAGTAGGGCAAGCATTGTACTTTAGGTAGTAGGGCAAGCATTGTGCTTGAAGTAGTAGGGCAAACATTGTGCTTTAAGTAGTAGGGCAAGCATTGTGCTTTAGGTAGTAGGGTAAGCATTGTGCTTTAAGTAGTAGGGCAAGCATTGTGCTTTAAGTAGTAGGGCAAGCATTGTGCTTGAAGTAGTAGGGCAAGCATTGTGCTTGAAGTAGTAGGGCAAGCATTGTGCTTGAAGTAGTAGGGCAAGCATTGTGCTTGAAGTAGTAGGGCAAGCATTGTACTTTAGGTAGTAGGGCAAGAATTGTGCTTGAAGTGGTAGGGCAAGCATTGTGCTTTAAGTAGTAGGGCAAGCATTGTGCTTTAAGTAGTAGGGCAAGAATCGTGCTTGAAGTAGTAGGGCAAGCATTGTGCTTGAAGTAGTAGGGCGAGCATTGTGCTTTAAGTAGTAGGGCAAGAATTGTGCTTGAAGTATTAGGGCAAGAATTGTGCTTGAAGTAGTAGGGCAAGAATTGTGCTTGAAGTAGTAGGGCAAGCATTGTGCTTTAAGTAGTAAGGCAAGCATTGTGCTTTAAGCAGTAGGGCAAGCATTGTGCTTTAAGCAGTAGGGCAAGCTATGTGCTTGAAGTAGTAGGGCAAGCATTGTGCTTGAAGTAGTAGGGCAAGCATTGTGCTTTAAGTAGTAGGGCAAGCATTGTGCTTTAGGTAGTAGGGCAAGCATTGTGCTTGAAGTAGTAGGGCAAGCATTGTGCTTTAGGTAGTAGGGCAAGCATTGTGCTTTAAGTAGTAGGGCAAGCACTGTGCTTTAAGTAGTAGGGCAAGCATTGTACTTTAGGTAGTAGGGCAAGCATTGTGCTTGAAGTAGTAGGGCAAACATTGTGCTTTAAGTAGTAGGGCAAGCATTGTGCTTTAGGTAGTAGGGCAAGCATTGTGCTTTAAGTAGTAGGGCAAGCATTGTGCTTGAAGTAGTAGGGCAAGCATTGTGCTTGAAGTAGTAGGGCAAGCATTGTGCTTGAAGTAGTAGGGCAAGCATTGTGCTTGAAGTAGTAGGGCAAGCATTGTACTTTAGGTAGTAGGGCAAGCATTGTGCTTTAAGTAGTAGGGCAAGCATTGTGCTTGAAGTAGTAGGGCAAGCATTGTACTTTAAGTAATAGGGCAAGCTTCGTGCTTTGCTTTAAGTAGTAGGGAAGCTTGTAGTCAACTCATCCCTACTGCCCTATCCCATATTGCCCTGGTCAACTTATCCCAACTGTCCTATCCTATATTGCCCTGGTCAACTTATCCCAACTGTCCTATCCCATATTACCCTGGTCAACTTTTCCCAACTGTCCTACCCCATATTGCTCTGGTCAACTTTTCCCAACTGTCCTATCCCATATTGCTCTGGTCAACTTTTCCCAACTGTCCTATCCTATATTGCTCTGGTCAACTTATCCCAAGTGTCCTATCCTATATTGCTCTGGTCAACTTATCCCAACTGCCCTATCCCATATTGCCCTGGTCAACTTTTCCCGTAGACGCCCGTCTACCGTAGACGCCCCTGTACCGTAGACGCCCGTCTACCGTAGACGCCCGTGTTCCTTAGGCGCCAATCCCCTACAGTGTTCAAATGTTCCCGAGGAACGCAAGTTCCTGTAACACTTGTCACCCTAATGTTCCCTGGACAAACGTCTATTTGTTTCTGTCAACGGCTGTTTGTTGCACGTCATTTGACCTTTGAACTTGACACCGTTATTGAAGACGCCTGCCACGGGTACCTGAGTGTCGTCTGCTGTTAAAGAGAAGGTGTCAAGTCGCTTTCAGCAGCAACACATTGGGGACCACCACTGTCACACATTGAGGACCGCCACTGTCACACATTGAGGACCGCCACTGTCACACATTGAGGACCGCCACTGTCACACATTGAGGACCACCACTGTCACACATTGAGGACCACCACTGTCACACATTGAGGACCGCCACTGTCACACATTGAGGACCGCCACTGTCACACATTGAGGACCACCACTGTCACACATTGAGGACCGCCACTGTCACACATTGAGGACCGCCACTGTCACACATTGAGGACCGCCACTGTCAGTTGAGGACCGCTACTGTCAGTTGAGGACCGCCACTGTCACATATTGAGGACCGCCACTGTCAGTTGAGGACCGCCACTGTCACATATTGAGGACCGCCACTGTCAGTTGAGGACCGCTACTGTCAGTTGAGGACCGCCACTGTCACACATTGAGGACCGCCACTGTCACACATTGAGGACCGCCACTGTCACACATTGAGGACCGCCACTGTCACACATTGAGGACCGCCACTGTCACACATTGAGGACCGCCACTGTCACACATTGAGGACCGCCACTGTCACACATTGCGGACCGCCACTGTCAGTTGAGGACCGCCACTGTCACACATTGAGGACCGCTACTGTCAGTTGAGGACCGCCACTCCACACATTGAGGACCGCTACTGTCAGTTGAGGACCGCCACTGTCAGACATTGAGGACCGCCACTGTCACACATTGAGGACCGCCACTGTCAGTTGAGGACCGCCACTCCACACATTGAGGACCGCCACTGTCAGACATTGAGGACCGCCACTGTCACACATTGAGGACCGCCACTGTCACACATTGAGGACCGCCACTGTCACACATTGAGGACCGCCACTCCACACATTGAGGACCGCCACTGTCACACATTGAGGACCGCCATTGTCACACATTGAGGACCGCCACTGTCAGTTGAGGACCGCCACACGTGACACGTGAGGACGTCCCTAGGCCTGCTGCGACACGTCAGGCCCATAAAGCTGGTGTCGTATGTTAGACATTCATGGCGGGTTGATAGCTTAGGACACAACTTGAGGTGTCACTCTAGGTGGTGTTGTTTTTTTTTGCTTCAACTTTGATGGCCGGGGTCGACAATGGCTCTCTGTCCATTCATTAATTAACTTCAGGGCAGGGCGATCGCTAGGGGCTCAGGCCGTTGGGGGCGGAATTGTTTACATAAATTAAAACACTTTTACTTGATCACTGTGACTAGAGATTTTCTACATACTTTGTTTTACTGTGTAAATAACTTAAATGGCATCTGAAAATGAGATCCTTATCTTACCTGACCAGTAAAATAGCCCAGTGACGGGGGGGGGGGGGGGTGTCGCAGAAATTGTATACATCAAGAATAATAAAACTAGCATACCTATAATCTTACTACAAGCTAATTTCAACTACAACACACTTGTAACTTTCTTAATATCAAAAGATTTGTATCGGTTCTAAGAGTTTTAAAGTAAGTAATGATTTCAACAAGATTGAAGGATTATCCAGGAGTTTAGGGTTGCACCAAAGCATAATGTGAACCCTATCTCTTTCAGCTTTAGGGTTGCATCAAAGCATAATGTGAACCCTATCTCTTTCAGCTTTATGGTTGCACCAAAGCATAATGTGAACCCTATCTTTCAGCTTTAGGGTTGCATCAAAGCATAATGTGAACCCTATCTCTTTCAGCTTTAGGGTTGCACCAAAGCATAATGTGAACCCTATCTCTTTCAGCTTTAGGGTTGCACCAAAGCATAATGTGAACCCTATCTTTCAGCTTTAGGGTTGCACCATGACATAACGTGAACCCCGTCTCTTTCAGTTTGAGGGCTGTAGGCCTACCATGGCATAACGTGAACCCTATCTTTCAGTTTGAGGGCTGCACCAAAGCCTTCTCCCGGCTGGAGAACCTGAAGATCCACCTGAGGAGCCACACGGGGGAGCGCCCCTACCTCTGCCAGCACCCGGGGTGCCAGAAGGCGTTCAGCAATTCCTCGGACAGGGCCAAGCATCAGCGGACACACGTCGACACGGTGAGCACTGGGTCACGTGATGTGTAGGTCAGGGGGGGGGGGGGTAGACACGTGGTCTGTAGGTCAGGGTGGGAGGGTGGTCACGTGATCTGATGGTCAGGGTGGGGGTGGACACACGTGGACACGGTGAGCATTAGGTCACGTGATGTGTAGGTCAGATTGGGGGGCGGGGCTGGTCACGTGTTCTGTTGGTCAGGGTGGGGGTGGGTGTGGACACGGTGAGTACTGAGTCACGTGGTCTTTAGGTTTATGGGGGGGGGGTAGACACGCGGACACGGTGAGTACTGGGTCACGTGGTCTGTAGGTTAATGGGGGGGCAGGTCACGTGGTCTGTAGGTTAGGAGCTGTTTGTGTGAATCATTAGCAAATCTTCCTTTCCTTCTGTTTAAGGAAAGCTATATATATATATATATATATATATATATATATATATATATATATATATATATATATATATATATATATATATATATATATATATATATATATATATATTTGAATATATATTGGGAGGTCGGGGGTTGATCTTGTTCCTCGAAAAGTTGATTTTTTTTCTTTGATTTGTTTTAGAAACCATATGCGTGTCAGGTAGCCGGATGTACCAAACGCTACACTGATCCAAGTTCTTTGAGAAAACATGTAAAAAATCACACTAAGGAGCAGCAGCAGCAAAAGAAAAAGGTGGGTCCAATTGATTTAGAGCTGTCAACAATTCATCAACACAAAATTTTAAAATTATGGAATGTTGTCAACACTGGTCAAACCAACACATAAAGGGCTGATGACTTTTTACAGTTGGTGTATCTTCAATAACAGCTATTGATTTAGATAATCAGATGGTTTGATGATGAAGCAATTTTTAGTAGGCCCTATATACTTTGGAAGTTTGAAATCAGTCCAATTAATTTGCTTTTAAAACATGAGTCTATATGACTTTAAACATAAATCTACTTGACTTAAAACATAAATCTGCCTGAATTAATTCATAAATCTGCTTGACTTAAAGCATATGCCTACTTGGCTTTATGTTTCATGTTTGCTTGTGTGTATGACAGTCAAATAACTTTTGAAAAAGTATTGATACCCCCCCCCCTTCTCTATTGAAGCTGAAGAAGGACAAGCTAGAGGACATGAATACCTGTCTGACCATACAACAGCTCAGGCCCGAGGGGTCACCCATGGACTACAGTGACAACAGCATGGGCAGGTCCCCACACACAGGACCCTCTGCTGAGAGTGTGTACCCTAGTGAGTCTAGTTTGTTGTGTACATGTGTATTAAGTCTAGTTGTACACACAGGACCCTCTGCTGAGAGTGTGTACCCCAGTAAGTCTAGTTTGTTGTGTACATGTCTAGAGGGTCTAGTTGTACACACAGGACCCTCTGCTGAGAGTGTCTACCCCAGTAAGTCTAGTTTGTTGTGTACATGTGTATTAAGTCTAGTTGTACACACAGGGCCCTCTGCTGAGAGTGTGTACCCCAGTAAGTCTAGTTTGTTGTGTACATGTCTATAGGGTCTAGTTGTACACACAGGACCCTCTGCTAAGAGTGTGTACCCAAGTAAGTCTAGTTTGTTGTGTACATGTCGATAGGGTCTAGTTGTACACACAGGGCCCTCTGCAGACAGTGTCTAGTTTGTTAGTTGTGTACATGTCTATAGGGTCTAATTGTACACACAGGACCCTCTGCTGAGAGTGTGTACCCCAGTGAGTCTAGTTTGTTCTGTACATGTCAATAGGGTCTAGTTGTACACACATGACCCTCTGCAGACAGTGTGTACCCCAGTAAGTTTAGTTTGTTGTGTACATGTCTATTGGGTCTAGTTGTACACACAGGACCCTCTGCTGAGAGTGTGTACCCCAGTAAGTTTAGTTTGTTGTGTACATGTCTATAGGGTCTAGTTGTACACACAGGACCCTCTGCTGAGAGTGTGTACCCCAGTAAGTCTAGTTTGTACATGTCTATAGGGTCAAGGGTCTAGTTGTACACACAGGGCCCTCTGCTGAGAGTGTCTAGTTTGTTAGTTGTGTACATGTCTATAGGGTCTAGTTGTACACACAGGACCCTCTGCTGAGAGTGTCTAGTTTGTTAGTTGTGTACATGTCTATAGGGTCTAGTTGTACACACAGGACCCTCTGCTGAGAGTGTCTACCCCAGTGAGTCTAGTTTGTTAGTTGTGTACATAAATAGCTGTACACTTGGTATGTTCAGTTTAGTTATAAATGTACACTATGTAGGCCTACTCGTGTATTCAGTGTAGATGTACAAGTCAATACAATGTAGATGTACAAGTCAATATGGTCTAATTGTGCACAATATCTACTTGTACACAAGTCTATGTTGTCTAGATGCATATTATGTGGTCTAGCTGTACACAATTCAATAAAGTCTAACTGTACATAATTCTAGATGATCTAGAACGACACAAGACTTAGAGTTGAATACAATTCTTTATTTACATATTTTCCTAACATGCCAATCAACCATACCCAGTCCTGTTTACTTCTCCACTTCAAATTGTTACAGTTAGCTATTCGAACAAAGAACATTAGCTGCATTTTTTTTCTAATCACACAATTTTTGTCTATGTACATAATTTTTCATTAGCTCTTCAGCTCAGCGAACCTAGCTATTTTATTAAAGCGGTTAATGTTGTCATTTTTTTTTATTAATAAAGTTTTCATTTTTAAGTAATTAAAACGTGTAGCGGTCCTATTCCCTAAACCCTTCGAACCTCCGTGAACCACACTACGTCACGCCTCTGCTTTGATCTAGCCAGCGAGTTGTCTGCTCTTGTTTTTCTAGTGGTTGTCTCTCATTAAACCCGAGTGAAACGTAGTCAAGTGGGACAGCCCTCGGTATGTGAACAGCGAGGCGGACACACGGCCACAACACGCCGTCTGCAAAACAATGCCCGTCTTAAGCTGACCAGCCAACCGGAAAACGTCGTGTCTCTGAAGGTGGCGCTGCCTTTGTTGACTTGTGTTTACGCTCGATTGATTCCTCGCAAAGTTTGAATTGCCCCGCTACCGCGAATAACATATTAAGCGAGCTAAACAAGCACTAAATTTAGAAACAATTAATATTTGATTCGTAAATTAGCGTACTGAATGCTATTTTTATTGTAATGTTTTACGTTTTGACTTGAACGATGTATAGTTTAGTTATATAGGCAATCATATTGTTCGCTGTATTCAATGATTACATCTAGCATGTAACAACGTCTGTAAGCATAAGATTTTAATAAGAGACTACTTATGTAAGCATCAGATTACACCTGGGATGTAACTTCGTCTGTAAGCATCAGACTAAATAAACAATAGAACGCTGATAGCTGGATACAGTACAATCTAAATATAGAACGGCAGGCAACTGGGTCAGGCGTTGACATGGCGCTATGCAGATTGAGAGTGTCATCTAGGGGGGGGGGGGGGGAGAGAGTTAGATAACCCGCGCTTCAAGTGTTTGTCGGGGGGGGGGGGGGGTGAGGTAGGGGTAAACTGATGTGTCAGCTCACAGCGACATACATTAGATATTGTCATACTATAGAGTAAAGGTCCCTTTTCGACGGGCAAGTGAAGTAGAGTTCACCTGTTTTTGTGAACTGTTTTTGTGAGTTAGGTGCCCATCACAGCTGGGTGGACTATCTGACCTGAATACCGATCCTTAAATATTTCAGGATTGTATATGGATGACGCAAACATAAATATTTATCGATACGTTTATATCTATAAATAAACAGCAAATAATATTGAGAGGGATTTCCTCGAACAAGTGCCAGCCAAGAACTATCTACACGGCAGCAGTTTGTGAAGCTCTTTCCTGGATAGGTTGCTGCCCGTCGTCTGCCCTGGGTCCGAACTTGGGACTTTTAGAGTAGAAGTTGTCGGCGCTCCCGTCTGGTCCTTACAAGTCAACTACATACCAAGCACTTTTTAAACACGCAAATAATTTTCTGTAGACAGATATGTCAAGAATTCACTATCTGTTTGCCTTGTATCAATGTAAATAGAAACCAAATCTTACAAGTTCGGTGTGTTTCGTAATCAGCAGTTTCAAATCAGATTTCCACTTTTGTTAGCCAGCGAGTTATCTTTTCATGAGCTGTCAAGGGACGGTATCAGCACTTGATTGGGCTGCTGGCGAGATTTGCTGCGGTCCTAATCTTCAGTTATATTTCAGCAGGAGGCAGTTAACTGTTGGGTTTCAAATCACGACACTTTGGAATAAGTAAAAAGATGTACCTAAAGGAAATAATTTAAAAAACCAAACTATGTGTGTGACGGCCATTTACGTACTCCTTTCTTGTGCCCGTCCGCCATTTATCAAATATTTTTTGACGGTAAATAAATTATATTGATTAGTTTTTAAAAAGGCTAGCTTTATTTCGTATTTGCAGCTTTATTTTGTAGCGTCAAAATTTTTAGTTGGCTTTCTGGATGAAATAATGTGACTTTTAGCTATCACTTGTTGGGATCAGATTCATCAAGGCATTCTTAAATTGGCCTATCGTAACCCTGAACGGGTAAATGTGCAGATAGTGTGGTTGTTCACATATCAAAGTGACCCATCTTTGAACAGGTTTTGTTTAGTACTGGCGTCCTATTTGTCAACTGCTAGTTTGACGTCACCAAAGTTTAATTCTCTTGCCGCGCCGATCTGACGAGATTTCCCCGTCCCGCGCGTTAATCCGCGAGATTAAAGATCGCGACGACTGGCATGTAAGATGTGTACAGTGTACATTGGTGTACATTGTTTGGTCACTCAGCACACGACTTCCGCCAGCCATGGCCCGAACCAGTATCGTCAGGTAGGGTGAAAACGATACGCCGCCGTTAGCTCGATTGGTTTCCTAAGCCGTTAGTCACGTGAATGGAGCGCCGTGCTGTTTAAGTAATCGAATCAAGGGGGTCATGGAATGTACAGCTGGTGTAATCGAATATAGGGGTCATGGAATGTACAGCTGGTGTAATCGAATCTAGGGGTCATGGAATGTACAGCTGGTGTAATCGAATCTAGGGGTCATGGAATTAACAGCTGGTGTAATCGAATCTAGGGGTCATGGAATGTACAGCGGGTGTAATCGAATAATAAAATGCTGGTTTGAAAATGGATTCCATTTTTGTCAGGGAATGTGGCTGAACTTAGGCGGGGAAATTTTCGCTGGTCTAAAAAAATCGGGCCCGCCGAAACTTTGATTGGGGTAAAATTTAACCTGTATCGATCAAGAATGATAATGGATCTTGTATCGATGAATGGCCAGACTTTTTTTTTGGCAATAAGTGATCAATACACGACCTCATTGCTAGGCTGGCTTACACACTGAAACACCCCTAGCATGACCTACACACTGAAACACCCCTAGCCTGACCTACACACTGAGACACCCCTAGAATGACCTACACACTGAAACACCCCTAGCCTGACCTACACACTGAGACACCCCTAGAATGACCTACACACTGAAACACCCCTAGCCTGACCTACACATTGAAACACCCCTAGCCTGACCTACACACTGAAACACCCCTAGGATGACCTACACACTGAAACACCCCTAAGGTGACCTACACATTGAAACACCCCTAGCCTGACCTACATACTGAAACACCCCTAGCCTGACCTACAAACACCCCTAGCCTGACTTACACACTGAAACACCGTAGATCGGGCGGTGATGACGTCATCTCCATATTGAGGTCTGCAGACGACCAAAACACTCCTGATGTTTTTGTACCTCGCCCCTGGCTCCTTATTGACGCCATATTGACGCTGTATTGCCCTACACCACTTTTGATTTATCCCGTGGGTGGGGGTGGGGGGCGGGGGTAACTTACACCAGCATTGGGGAAAGTTCCAACTCTAGAGAATATAGCTTAGAAAACCCCAGCAGCTTCTACACTTTTTTTAGTGAACAAAAACCCAACCCTACACCTTTAGTATAGAAGAACCCAACCCTACACTTAACGCCAACCCTCCAGCTATAAATAGTCCCCGGGTGTAATGTTCACCAGCCAGTATTGGATATTACCCAACTGCACTATTGATCCGCTGATCGACCAGGAACTACTTGATTGATTGTTATAGTGATAGGGACAAGATTAGCCTCGAAAGCTTTTCATTTTTTTTTTCTGTGGCGGGGCGGGGCGCTGTGTGGTCGGGCTAAACTCTCGGCTCCGTTGTTCTGTGGCCTCCCTGCTGACGTCATACCAGCTTTCCACACGTTCAGCTAAAGCTAGATAAAAACTCAGCAGACGATGAACACCGTATAATTATTGGTCTCAAGGATCAGCGTGATTTTTAGCTTTACCATGCCTTCTATAAGTATAATCAACTTGTCCTTTAGGAATTACTTTCCGGATTATACGCCGACCATCTACCGTATTAATTTCGTTCCCTTCTTTTGTTTTCTAAAAACTCGAGTTCAGGTTTTTACACTGTACTTTAACAAGAGGCAGGGGAGCTAATCCCGGGTGACTAGTTGTCCAATGTCACATGATATTAGAGTAGAGGTTTGGAAAAAAACACCGGAACAATTCCTCCATTGTTTACAGGCTGTATTAGTTGGCGTGAATTATGTGTCTGTGATTAAATATGTGCTATGGCGCCAACACATACTGATTTAACATAGCGTGCTTTTAATTAATAGTGTGATGGGGTGCTGAGGTTTACCTGACTTAGACGCTTTCACTTACTGACGTCACACAGAGGCGTAGCGACGGGGTGGGGGGGGGTACATTGTCCCCGGGCGCCGATCCTATAGCGCCAAATTAAGCTCATTTTAGCTGCTATTTTGAATTATAAATATAAAAAAATATATTGGGGGGGGGGGGCGCCAAATTGAAAGTTTGTCCCCGGGCGCCTGGAGGGATCAGATGTGGTAGCTGAAGTTTGGAGAGGAATGGGTTAAAAGTACTTTAGTGAGGTAGGCCTATCAAATGGTGTGTTTACCATGAGATTGGCCTATCAAATGGTGTGTTTACCATGAGATCGGACTATCAAATGGTGTGTTTACCATGAGATCGGCCTATCAAATGGTGTGTTTACCATGAGATCGGACTATCAAATGGTGTGTTTACCATGAGATCGGCCTATCAAATGGTGTGTTTACCATGAGATCGGACTATCAAATGGTGTGTTTACCATGAGATCGGCCTATCAAATGGTGTGTTTACCATGAGATCGGCCTATCAAATGGTGTGTTTACCATGAGATCGGCCTATCAAATGGTGTGTTTACCATGAGATCGGCCTATCAAATGGTGTGTTTACCATGAGATCGGCCTATCAAATGGTGTGTTTACCATGAGATCGGACTATCAAATGGTGTGTTTACCATGAGATCGGCCTATCAAATGGTGTGTTTACCATGAGATCGGCCTATCAAATGGTGTGTTTACCATGAGATCGGCCTATCAAATGGTGTGTTTACCATGAGATCGGACTATCAAATGGTGTGTTTACCATGAGATCGGCCTATCAAATGGTGTGTTTACCATGAGATCGGCCTATCAAATGGTGTGTTTACCATGAGATCGGCCTATCAAATGGTGTGTTTACCATGAGATCGGACTATCAAATGGTGTGTTTACCATGAGATCGGACTATCAAATGGTGTGTTTACCATGAGATTGGCCTATCAAATGGTGTGTTTACCATGAGATCGGACTATCAAATGGTGTGTTTACCACCAGATCGGACTATCAAATGGTGTGTTTACCATGAGATTGGCCTATCAAATGGTGTGTTTACCATGAGATCGGCCTATCAAATGGTGTGTTTACCACCAGATCGGCCTATCAAATGGTGTGTTTACCATGAGATCGGCCTATCAAATGGTGTGTTTACCACCAGATCGGCCTATCAAATAGTGTGTTTACCATGAGATCGGCCTATCAAATGGTGTGTTTACCATGAGATCGGCCTATCAAATGGTGTGTTTACCATGACCTTTGCTCTCCAGGTTTTACCTTCTCAAGCTCCCACTCCAGTCGTTGTGGTACAGCAGCGGGCAGCAACAGCATCAACAGCCAACTGTCGCCTGCAACACAGGCACTGGGGAGATTGGAGGAAGGCAATGAGAGTTGGGTTCAGGGGATATTGGAGGCTAATGACAGGTGGGTTCAGGGGAGATTGGAGGAAATGAGAGGTGGGTTCAGGGGAGATTGAAGGAAGGCAATGAGAGTTGGGTTCAGGGGAGATTTGAGGAAGGCCATGAGAGGTGGGTTCAGGGGATATTGGAGGCTAATGACAGGTGGGTTCAGGGGAGATTGGAGGAAATGAGAGGTGGGTTCAGGGGAGATTGGAGGCTAATGAGAGGTGGGTTCAGGGGAGGTTAGAGGCTAATGAGAGGTGGGTTCAGGGGAGGTTGGAGGAAATGAGAGGTGGGTTCAGGGGAGATTGGAGGCTAATGAGAGGTGGGTTCAGGGGAGGTTGGAGGCTAATGAGAGGTGGGTTCAGGGGAGGTTGGAGGCTAATGAGAGGTGGGTTCAGGGGAGGTTGGAGGCTAATGAGAGGTGGGTTCAGGGGAGTTTGGAAGGCATGGAGAGGTGGGTTCAGGGGAGATTGGAGGCTAATGAGAGGTGGGTTCAGGGGAGGTTGGTGGAAGGCATGGAGAGGTGGGTTCAGGGGAGATTGGAGGAAGGCAATGAGAGGTGGGTTCAGGGGAGATTGGAGGAAGGCAATGAGAGGTGGGTTCAGGGGAGATTGGAGGAAATGAGAGGTGGGTTCAGGGGAGATTGGAGGAAATGAGAGGTGGGTTCAGGGGAGGTTGGAGGAAGGCAATGAGAGGTGGGTTCAGGGGAGATTGGAGGAAGGCAATGAGAGGTGGGTTCAGGGGAGATTGGAGGAAGGCAATGAGAGGTGGGTTCAGGGGAGATTGGAGGAAGGCAATTAGAGGTGGGTTCAGGGGAGATTGGAGGAAGGCAATTAGAGGTGGGTTCAGGGGAGATTGGAGGAAGGCAATTAGAGGTGGGTTCAGGGGAGGTTGGAGGAAGGCAATTAGAGGTGGGTTCAGGGGAGGTTGGAGGAAGGCAATGAGAGGTGGGTTCAGGGGAGATTGGAGGAAGGCAATTAGAGGTGGGTTCAGGGGAGATTGGAGGAAGGCAATGAGAGGTGGGTTCAGGGGAGATTGGAGGAAGGCAATGAGAGGTGGGTTCAGGGGAGATTGGAGGAAATGAGAGGTGGGTTCAGGGGAGATTGGAGGAAATGAGAGGTGGGTTCAGGGGAGGTTGGAGGAAGGCAATGAGAGGTGGGTTCAGGGGAGATTGGAGGAAGGCAATAAGAGGTGGGTTCAGGGGAGATTGGAGGAAGGCAATGAGAGGTGGGTTCAGGGGAGATTGGAGGAAATGAGAGGTGGGTTCAGGGGAGATTGGAGGAAGGCAATTAGAGGTGGGTTCAGGGGAGGTTGGAGGAAGGCAATAAGAGGTGGGTTCAGGGGAGGTTGGTGGAAGGCATGGAGAGGTTGGTTCAGGGGAGATTGGAGGAAGGCAATGAGAGGTGGGTTCTGGGGAGATTGGAGGAAATGAGAGGTGGGTTCAGGGGAGGTTGGAGGAAGGCAATGAGAGGTGGGTTCAGGGAAGAGAGGTGGGTTCAGGGGAGATTGGAGGAAGGCAATGAGAGGTGGGTTCAGGGGAGATTGGAGGAAGCAATGAGAGGTGGGTTCAGGGGAGATTGGAGGAAGGCAATGAGAGGTGGGTTCAGGGGAGATTGGAGGAAATGAGAGGTGGGTTCAGGGGAGATTGGAGGAAGGCAATGAGAGGTGGGTTCTGGGGAGATTGGAGGAAATGAGAGGTGGGTTCAGGGGAGGTTGGAGGAAGGCATGGAGAGGTTGGTTCAGGGGAGATTGGAGGAAGGCAATGAGAGGTGGGTTCTGGGGAGATTGGAGGAAATGAGAGGTGGGTTCAGGGGAGGTTGGAGGAAGGCAATGAGAGGTGGGTTCAGGGAAGAGAGGTGGGTTCAGGGGAGATTGGAGGAAGGCAATGAGAGGTGGGTTCAGGGGAGGTTGGAGGAAGGCAATGAGAGGTGGGTTCAGGGGAGATTGGAGGAAGGCAATAAGAGGTGGGTTCAGGGGAGGTTGGAGGAAGCAATGAGAGGTGGGTTCAGGGGAGATTGGAGGAAGGCAATAAGAGGTGGGTTCAGGGGAGGTTGGAGGAAGGCAATGAGAGGTGGGTTCTGGGGAGATTGGAGGAAATGAGAGGTGGGTTCAGGGGAGGTTGGAGGAAGGCAATGAGAGGTGGGTTCAGGGAAGAGAGGTGGGTTCAGGGGAGATTGGAGGAAGGCAATGAGAGGTGGGTTCTGGGGAGATTGGAGGAAATGAGAGGTGGGTTCAGGGGAGGTTGGAGGAAGGCAATGAGAGGTGGGTTCAGGGAAGAGAGGTGGGTTCAGGGGAGATTGGAGGAAGGCAATGAGAGGTGGGTTCAGGGGAGATTGGAGGCTAATGAGAGGTGGGTTCAGGGGAGATTGGAGGAAGGCAATTAGAGGTGGGTTCAGGGGAGATTGGAGGCTAATGAGAGGTGGGTTCAGGGGAGGTTGGTGGAAGGCATGGAGAGGTGGGTTCAGGGGAGATTGGAGGAAGGCAATGAGAGGTGGGTTCAGGGGAGATTCGAGGAGGGCAATGAGAGGTGGGTTCAGAGGATATTGGAGGAAGGTAATGAGAGGTGGGTTCAGGGGAGATTGGAGGAAGGCAATGAGAGGTGGGTTCAGGGGAGGTTGGAGGAAGGCAATGAGAGGTGGGTTCAGGGGAGATTGGAGGAAATGAGAGGTGGGTTCAGGGGAGATTGGAGGAAGGCAATGAGAGGTGGGTTCAGGGGAGATTGGAGGAAATGAGAGGTGGGTTCAGGGGAGATTGGAGGAAGGCAATTAGAGGTGGGTTCAGGGGAGATTGGAGGAAGGCAATGAGAGGTGGGTTCAGGGGAGATAGGAGGAAGGCAATGAGAGGTGGGTTCAGGGGAGGTTGGTGGAAGGCATGGAGAGGTGGGTTCAGGGGAGATTGGAGGAAGGCAATGAGAGGTGGGTTCAGGGGAGATTGGAGGAAATGAGAGGTTGGTTCAGGGGAGATTGGAGGAAGGCAATGAGAGGTGGGTTCAGGGGAGATTGGAGGAAATGAGAGGTGGGTTCAGGGGAGATTGGAGGAAGGCAATGAGAGGTGGGTTCAGGGGAGATTGGAGGAAATGAGAGGTGGGTTCAGGGGAGATTGGAGGAAGGCAATTAGAGGTGGGTTCAGGGGAGATTGGAGGAAGGCAATGAGAGGTGGGTTCAGGGGAGATTGGAGGAAATGAGAGGTGGGTTCAGGGGAGATTGGAGGAAGGCAATGAGAGGTGGGTTCAGGGGAGATTGGAGGAAATGAGAGGTGGGTTCAGGGGAGATTGGAGGAAGGCAATTAGAGGTGGGTTCAGGGGAGATTGGAGGAAGGCAATGAGAGGTGGGTTCAGGGGAGATTGGAGGCTAATGAGAGGTGGGTTCAGGGGAGGTTGGTGGAAGGCATGGAGAGGTGGGTTCAGGGGAGATTGGAGGAAGGCAATGAGAGGTGGGTTCAGGGGAGATTCGAGGAGGGCAATGAGAGGTGGGTTCAGAGGATATTGGAGGAAGGTAATGAGAGGTGGGTTCAGGGGAGATTGGAGGAAGGCAATGAGAGGTGGGTTCAGGGGAGGTTGGAGGAAGGCAATGAGAGGTGGGTTCAGGGGAGGTTGGAGGCTAATGAGAGGTGGGTTCAGGGGAGTTTGGAAGGCATGGAGAGGTGGGTTCAGGGGAGGTTGGAGGAAGGCAATAAGTGGTGGGTTCAGGGGAGAGAGTAATCTAATGAAAGGTGGGATTTGTACAGAATAACAACCAGTTGAGCAAAGTTGGCCATCAACACTTGAAAATTAAATATCCTGTTATTTAATTAATTATTGATGACATTTTTTTTCATATAAATGAAATGGCAGTTACTTCTAGAAAAATAAAGTACTTTTGCAGACTAGAAAAAAATTTCCCCAACCTCAACATGAAGATATAATGAGGTTAGGTACCTGTTAGAGCTGGATGAACTCAGGTTTATCCCAAGTACTGTAGACTGTAACCCATGCCATCTTTGCTCTGACATAATCTCTTACTTCCCCTGTGCTTTCAGCATGGGCGCGTACAACTCTGATATCATGATGAGTCCGCGACCTCTGCCACCCATTCCACCACGTAACATGATGTCACAACTACCTGACATGCCAGGACAATATGAGCATAATTCATGTCTGTACAGTCAGCCCATGACAGGTAACATCCTCACTCTCTCTACATGTACACAGTTTAATCATGGTGCCAGACAATCATTTCTTGTGTCAGACACAATCATTTCTTGTGTCACACACAATAATTTCTTGTGTCAGAAAAAATAATTTCTAATATCAGACAAAAATAATGTTTTATGTCAGACACAATCACATTTTTTTACAAACTAATTAATTTCTTGTTTTAAGCAATTAATTATGGTGACTAAATCAAACATTTCAGATTCCAGTCACTATCATTTGAGTGACTGACTCAAAACTATTTTAATGCTTGATAAAATTACGTTTTGTGCCAGTGTAAAAGTTAGTCTTAATGGTATCTAGTGACAGAATCTTAAACATAAACATTACTGTAGCACGAATCATTGTTGTATTGGACACCTGGTCAGTTCATTTAACCAAGTTGACCTTTGACCTTATTGTCTGACCACTTCTCACCTGCTGTTCTAGATATGTCTGGCATGCTCAGGCCCCAGTACCCCCAGGCATACACAGGCTTCAGCAGTTGCAGGGTGGGGGCCATGCAGGCCCAGAGGATGATGAACCTGCAGAGCTTTGACCCTGATTCCTTCAACATCCCACTCGATGACATCACACAGCCAGGTAGGAGCCTGACAGTTTGACAGAAATTTTTAAAATCACTATTTATTTTTCAAATAAACGTTCATGGTATAGTAGTAAAACACATGCTTGCTAACCTGAAAGCTATGAGTTCGGTACCTGAACTAGAAAGTGAAGGTTATCTAGCAACTATACAGTCTCCCAATATCCAAACCAAGTTGATGTGGTTTCACCAGGGGACGAAATAAATGCCAGGTGGAAACACACTGGTGAGAGAAATGTTCTGATTCGTCGTCCTCGCATGTCCTGCCTGCTGTAGGACAATTTCTCAGAAAGTTATCCCCTTATAAAAAGATGTAATTTTGCCACAATCTGCAAGTTTTCTTTACACTTGACACTCTCTGCAGGTTATTGTGACACCAACCTGATGCCTTCAATTGAAACCCTCGCCATGCCCAGTGAGGTAACTATGCAGCAGTATCTCCAGCTGTCAGCTGTCGACCGATGCAACAGCAGAACATCCATATACGCTGACGGTACAACCTGAGCCCATGTTCATACGTCTGTTACGCTGTTGTTAGCATATGTATATGGTGTACATATGGTGTACATTTAAACAATGTTGTTGAAGGAATTTTTGTTGAGCTTAATCTGGTCCTTCATAATCCGGTGGTTGTGCATAATCTTTTTATAAAATTCATTTTCATTTTAAATCAATTAAATCAGCTATTTATGCTTCTCTGTTCAATAATATTTATACTTCTGTATTGGATGTATGTTTCTGTACAAATATGTCTAACATATGTGAAAATATTTCGGGGAAAATTAGCCAAAAATCGTGTTTTTTAAAAATTATCTTTCAGAATCCGTTATTGTTGACTTCCTTAATAAAGCATTTAAAATTATCCTAAAACTTATCCAACATAAGTCTCATGTTATACTTGTTATAAATGGGTTAAAAGCCTTTATAGGGTCTTTGGTCTTATTTATATTGTTATTTTAACCCTTTCTGTACCACTGTCCCCATACAGTAGGTCAGTTGAACATTATAATGGCCATGAGTGGCCGTGCCTGTTGTGATACGTTTGATACAGCTACAAATGTTTTTTTTTTACATATTCTATTTTATTTACATTATTTTATGCTTTTGAAACTCTAAAGTAAAAGAGCAGTAGTAAACCTATTTTTGACAGTGGTTTTAGCTATCTTTTCTTGGTTAATAAATAGACATATGCACATATTATATTTCACAAAGCTAGGACATTTTTTACCCGTACCTACCCCCATATATATCATTAAAATAAATCTTCAAAGACCGCCTCTTATCCCATCTTCTCTCAGAAATCACAAGACATTCCCATTCCTTCCTGTTGCTTAAGACTGAGGTGGCCTAACTGGTGGCCTTTAAAAAAAATATTTCCAGCCATGACATTCCAGCCTCTCCCCAGAGGGAATGTTACATAAGTTTATAGGCTTCTTCCCTATCTACATTATTAAATACCTTTTCAGTATCTATACAAAGTTTATATTATTTTAGTAGTACAAGAATGTTGGGGTTTTATATTTAAATGATGGTAACTACATTATATTAAATAAAATTGATCATTACATTATACATTTGTGACCATTAGAAAAAACCATAAATGCCCTATCAGTTATAAGGAAAATTGTTGACTTATTTTTTTAACAATTCATACAGAAATATAGCAAAATAAAATTTAAAAAGTAGTCAAATATAACATATCCCTATACTATTACCCAACAACACAATATAAAAAAATAATTTATTCCCTAACCACTTTGTGTTATATAATATGTGTATCATCCCTATATTGCCCAATGTTTCTGGCTGAAAGGGTTAAAAAGCAAATGACTTGCTTAGTTAATGTAATTTTATTTACATTTTTATTTTTCACTTGTGTATAAAACATTTATTACTTAAATATTTTTCATAGTTAGTCGTTTTATTAATTAAAATAAATCTAGAAAACTGTATATTTTTTACACCATATTTTGGCAGCTGTAAATAATAGATGTAAAATAAAATAAATCAATATCAGTTCAATTTAGATGTTAGCTTCCACTTACTAGTAGACATAGGATGAATTTTTTTTTTACCACCTACCTCAAAATGAAAGCATTCCATCTGACCATTACCTCGCTTGTGCTCATGTTACACTTGAATATCCAGTAACCAGCAGAATTTCTTGCAGAGTTTCAAGGCATGTTTATTTACTGAAAATTGTGATCGTTTCTAGTTTTCATAAAGTGATAGTTTTCTTCCTGTGGTAGTGCCTTTTTATTTTAAAAGACACTTTGCCAGATTGAAGGAAGAGAAAGGTTCGTGAACTTCCAATACAATGGCCATTTTTTATACAGCAGAGTCTAAGGTCTGCTTGATTCAATGTTTAGGCCTACTATAAGAATGAAAGAAATTTTAAAATTCTAAATACTTAGCTTTTAAAATGTGTGATAAATCAATAATTACAGTTTTAAAATCATCTTAATCATTTCATATTTTTATCTCCAATGATAGTGGACTATACTGTTGAAAAATAGGAAAAATCATTTTAAATCATCAATTTAAATCTATCTGTACATCAATTCAATTTTTGTATTAACCTGTATTCACATTGCAATTATAGTTTAACTGTAGCTTTTAAAACTTGATCTTAACTGGCATGTAAAAGCTTTAGTTGAATATGGCCTACAGGGGCATGGCCAGATTTTCAGGGATGAGGGGCAGCAATGGCATAGAAATGTCCACCTTCTTCTCCAACAAAAATCGTCCAGCTAATAGCTCAATAATAAATGTCAGCTTGATTTTTAATATATTGAAAATACATTTCTGAAAAGACGCAGCTTGCTGAAGATCTCAGGAAGAAAGCCATCTACCTTACCCCTACTCCGCTACCAGAGTTTCTTCCAGGCATCTCTTCGGCCCCCCCCCCCCCCTGAAAGAAATGAAATTTATATAATTTATATAGAAAATATATACTTTTAACAGTGTCCGCCCCCCCCCCCCCCAAAGATGGTTTACCCCCCCCCCCTCTCCCCCCCCCCCCCCCCCCTGAAAATTTCGAGTGCTCCCCCAGGAGAAAAAAGTCTGGAAGAAACACTGTCCGCTTCTGGTTACACCTCTAATGTTCCTTGTGTGTTACCAACAGTTTGCTGCATGAAAGTTGTCTAACTATTCAAAATTTTAATAAAAACCACTTAGGTATTAGTACGTGAGTAAATTGAATAGTTTTATGTTACTAATTATGAATCCATAATAACCTGTTTTCTTAGCTTAAAGCTTGAAAGTTATAGTGTCTAAATGTTTTTGATCAAATAACATATTTTTAAAACATTGTTTACAAACTGATTTATAATCAGAATCATATTTACTGCTGCTGCAAAACATTTGTCTTACAATTGTTGCTGTACATTAGGTTGTGTTTATTAATTCAGTGATTGACGATTAGCATTTATTTTGTCAGGATTTTGACATTTGTGATACCATTTTTTAAAAGAAACTTACACAAACTGTTTCATTTTTCTTTTGCTATTATGTTTTTTTTAAACTTACCTTTTACTTCTAAAATTTATGTTTTGTAAATAACTTATATATCACTTAAAAAATTTCACATATGATAAAAGCATAATCATATCTTGTTGTCACCAAATAATTAAAAAAAAATGTTGATGTTATTAACAATTAATAAGATCCACCTTAAATACCTTTTTAAAAATAAACCCAGTCAGTAGATGAAATAAAAGCAGTTTAAAAAATAAATATCTCATAGCATGTGTAATAAATAATTATTATGAATAAAGATTTTAAAAAATGTATTTTTATTTATTTAAATGAAACTCATGTTTTGGCAACATTCAGGCAAATAGCAGGAAATAAATGCTTCAGCTTACAATGAAAATAAAAATTCAATCACACACACATAAGGATTGTATGTACACATATTCGCAATACATTATATGTGAATAGATATGTAATGAATATGTTGGCTGTTAATAGAAATCTAACTACAGCATTGTATACTTTGTTTACCATCTATATATATCCAGTTAATAGAATTTCAAATCAACATGTAATCTTTTATAAAGCTTATGAAATTTTACTTTAACATATTTGACTTATTGTTAATATATGGAATTAAAAGAGATGTAAATCTTGTCCTATTTGAAATGTTATACATTGCTTGTTCCTCACAAAAAAAAAAAAAAAAATTGAAATGTGTTCTCAAATTATTTTTTAAAAAAACCCGCCATTATATCACTAAATAAATTAGAAAATCCGTCCAGCAACTGTAGTGAATTTTACACTCTTTTAAAACAGTATTTAAAAAACCGTCCAAATTTAGTTATGTTAAGATGTGTTTTTTGTATTTTAAATATATATTTAATGGAAACAATTTTAACTTATATTTTTAAAAAACATTTAAAGTAAATTTTAGTTTTTCCCCTTAGCTGTATAAATAATTGTACAAAGATTATTATATTTATATTTTTAACTTTAAAACATTTTACTATCATTTAATATTTTGATAATTGAACTTGTTGAATAAGAATTACTATCATTCCTTGACAATGTGATCTTTTTAAAAGCAAAATGAATAAATTTGCTCCCTATTTAAAAAAAACATTGAATTTAAAAATTTAAAAAATCAAAACATTACCTACACATTGGGATTTACTCTATGTGATTGTAATCATTGTTTCCAGCAATCCACAAACATAGAGGTGGCTTTGTAATTCCAGCCATATACTTAACTCATATAGTTGCTTTGTACCCTGTGATATCCAGATTGTATGTGATTTCTTGTTTTGTCAAAAATAATTCAACTTGCAATACCACGTGAATTAGGTTGTAAAACTATTTAAAAAATTTATAATGTAAGTCACAGTTGTAATATTTAGACCTACTTGAACTGATGTTTCAGTCTGATGAACAATTTAGTTGTAGAACAATAATATATTTTAGTTACTTTTTTTTATGATGCTATTTTGTTACAACTTGCCTTCATTATGATTGGTTGGCCATATTACCCAGCATAAAAAAAATAAAGCAATAATATTACTATCTTCACTTTCCCCATGTTGATTTTTATTTTTCCTATTTGTGATCACTAGCAGTAAAGCTGCATATATGACTGTTGATGTATTATGATCAATACTGCCAATGGACGGAAGCTTCAGTTGTATCTGACCTTTCAAAGATTTTTCTGGATCTGAAGGGAGATTATATGTGTACATGAATATGCATCAAGGATACAGGTCTAATTTTATATTTGTGTTTTATTCAATTGCAGCTTCAAGAATACAGATCTAATGTTTTATTTGGTATGTGTTTTATTCAGTCACAGCTTCAAAAACATGTCTAATGTTACATTTCGTAACGTTTTATTAAGTCCCAGTAAGATCCAACACTTGTTCAACAGTCACATATATATTCCAAATTTTGTTTGTATAGTTTTACCACATTTTGTGATACCAAATCTATTTCATTACAACACCCAGTTGCTTCAGCTACTGATTCAAGTTGGAGAAATAAGTGCTAATCTTAAGGAAGGATAAATATTTAAAAAGTAAATATTATTTCAGCACTTATCATTGAAAATAGACTCTGTACTTTTTATGTCTAGCTGAGTTACTTACAGCTTGCTTAAGTATAGAAGTCTTTAAAAAAGGCATTGAAAATGGCTTCTGTATTTCATACTTCTAAAATATAATTTAGAAAAAAATTCAACTGTTAAAAAAAATATTTCTTTTGCAATTTGTTGTTTTTAAATAAACAAATAATAACCATATTTTTCCAATTTATTTTTAACACTTTATAACTGACATATAAATGTGTTTATTTTTGTCATTAATTTAGTTATCTTTCATTTAATATTATATTTTCCCACCAGTTTGAAGGAAGCTATAATTCCCACTTCTTTAATACTTAATACAGTGGTATTTTGAGAAATTTAATTTGTTCCGTAACATTGCTCATAGATCTATGTCAAATTGTTCATATCTCAAAGCAATTTTCTTTGTTAAAATTATATGAAATGCTATTAATCTGTTCCAGCCCCCAATTCCACTCAAGTTTTTTTTTATTACTTTTTTTTTAATTAGAAAAATGTATTTACAAATAACAAATGTTGTATAAAAACATAATAAAGGATAATATAAAGAAATAAACTGGTTTTAAAATGTATATTTTTTAAAAACAGCCAAGCTGAGCACTTAAGATCCCGGTGGAGATGTATTTCAGCTAGAGTTTACACTGTTAATGCTACACTTTATCCCTAATTTAATGGTCAAGTAAAAGTAGAGTTCTCCTCTCAAAGCTGAGTCTATGGGGAAAGTGAAGAAGAGTTCACCTGTTTCTGTGACCTCGGCATATTAAGGGATAGTGTGGTCAGCACCAGGCCCAGCCGCCTTTACTTTCCCTAATGTGAGTTAGGTACTCATTAGAGCTGGGTGGACTCAAGGACGATAAATTTAATGGTACTCAACTCAAATTTGCTGCACATAGTTGAACTTAAGTGCCACTTGATAATTTATAATCTTTAATTAATTTTCATGATTGCTTTTTTCTTCACTGGTCTTTGCCTCGATGTACTTCACATACAGACTGTTTAGTTTTAAAACAAAACCTATTTAGGTCTGTATCTTCCTCCATTTCAAAATATTGCAGAATAGAGCTTGACAAGTTATTTTGTAGTTGAGATGCTCAATAAGTTGCAACTTATTCTGCGTGTAACATTTCTGTAAAGCAACAGATCTGGTTTCTTGTATCTCAAAGTTTGCTTTAACTCCAAGCATAAAAAAATCATGTATGTCAGTGCGCTCCTATATGTGCCACTGTATTTAATTGTTATAGAGTTCAAAACTAAATGTTCCTATTCAAAACAGGTGGTTGAATGGTAGACATTTTGGTTGCTAGCTCGAAGGTCTCGAGTTCAAATCTTTATTTGGACTTGTGACTATAGGACTTCCCTGAGTCCACCCAGCTCTGATGGGTACCTGACATGTTGGGGAAAGTAAAGGTGGCTGGGCATAGTGCTGACCACAACATCCTTTCAAACATAATAAACTATTTCATCGCTCAATGAATCGCTAGGTCTAAAGAAGATTCTTTACTTGTGACTTTACTACAAAAATAGAAAGTGATGTTCAGAGAAAGCTTCAGTCAAACTCAAAACCTTCCCTTTCAGCAACAGTTTATCATTAGATTTTATTTTGTCATGTCTATGTATTGGACCACTTGTAATTCCAATTTATCACAAAAATCAGTAGAGCAAAACAAAGCCCATTTTTATTTATTTTTAATCAATATGGCAAGCAAGTAAAAAAAATCTGGACAACACAGTGTGACAAGAAAAATACTTCACTGTCAAATGTTTGTCAACAGGTCAAGACCTATGATGATCATAAAGTCACAGTCACCCATTACAACACATCAGCAGGATATTTTCTTTACATGATGAAAGGATTTTCTCCTCGGCTATACAGGGGCAGCAGAGTGATTGAAAACAAAGACATTTCTTGTAAAGTTTACACTTGATGAGCTTACCGGCATTTAAGTCATTTCACATTTACTGAAGCATAGACCAGCAAAAACATTCATGATTGTTGCACACTACAGCAAAAATATTCATGATTGTTGCTAACTACAGCAAAAACATTTGTGAATGTTGCTAACAAAGACATTTGTTAATCCTGTTCCCTATTTGTTACATGGATTTACAATCTAAACTCCCAGAAGTCACTAGTCTCCCCACATACAACCACATGTTCAGATAACAGACTTAGGTCTGACGCCATACGCTTGTGTCCTCTGATCACAAACAGCTGTATGTTCTCCCATGTTCACTTGTATGTTGTTTGACAACTTTTACACTGTAGGTAGCCACCTGCTATTAATAAGTACTACGCTAAACACATATTTATTTCAAATTGTGACCTTTAAACTTGTATAGTTGTCTGACTGTTTTGATGTACACAAACAAATAATACTGTTAACTAGGTCTGACCAACTTCATCCTCACAAAGGCTGGGACACTCAGGTGTCTATGGTAAACATTGCAGGAAACAGATTAGCTGTTGGCTGATTCCTCAGCCCAGGACCAGATTAGCTGTTGGCTGATTCCTCAGCCCAGGATCAGATTAGCTGTTGGCTGATTCTTCAGCACAGGATCAATCTGTTAAGTAGCTGCTTAATTAATTAATCTTCTTGCAGCAATAATAACAAGAAACCAGTTTTTAAATTAACTCTGTAACAATAACAAATAACAAGACACCAGAGTTTTGTAATTAACCTTGTTACAATAAAAATAACAAGTAGTCTGGGATTTTGTGATGAATTTTGTTGCAGCAAAAATAGCGATAAGCTCGGGGTTTTGTAAAATACATGATAATAAAATATAAAATTGACATAAAATCATGAACCAGTTTCCCAAAAAACTGATCATTGTAATTGTATAAAAGTCACTCTCAAGAACATAATGTAAATCTTTAAAAAGGTATTTGAAAAATACATTTATTATATTAAATAACTGATGACCAGTTGAATTCACAGGTTAATTATTAATTAAATAGTTTAATGAGTACATTGAAGGCTCAGATCTATGTTATCATAACTACATGTCACCAACAAATTCAACAAGTCACTACAAGATTGCCTGCAGGAACACCATGTAACAAGAACAGAAAGGTCGAGGCACAGAGAACACAGGGGGGGGGGGGGGGGGGCTTAGGGGGAGTGGGTACATGAAAATGTCACAGAACATGAAGAAATCTGGCATGAACACAACCATAACAGTGCTATTTATAGATCAGATGTATTGAAAGCCTCAATGGCACTAGGCAGCCTTGTTAATTAAAATACAAAAAGAAAACTAATTAGTACATTTTTTTTAAAGCAGCTGAACATGTTTTTGTAAGAAGTAAAATGGGCGTGTACCTGCAGTGATTTAAGGATGAAGATGTTAGAATCTCTGTGTGAACTACGCACTTTACAACCCTGCTTTCAAAGGCATGTTGCGCTTACTGTTATACATAAAGACTGACATGTAATACAGAACAAAAAAATGTAATATAGAACATTATCAACATGTAATTAGAACATAGACATTATGAAATAGCAAACCTTGTTTTCTGAAGTAAACATTGGTTCCAATAATATCCTACACTTTGGTATGTGAAGGTCAGAGAAAACCATTGGATGAATTTTAAATTAGAATACACTGACTCACACCACACAATTTATTTTACAATGTAAATGCCTTGTATTAATCTACGGCAGTTTGCAATGACTGTTAGCAATAACTTCTGGTGAAGGGAAGAGATGAACATGAGGCAAAATGCTCTGATCAGACCAAGCATTTACCAAGACATGATTAGCAATGAAAGCACCACCATTAAACACTATTCACTGACACTGGAAAACTTTGCTGCAGAACTAACCCTCACCATTCACTGACACTGGAAAACTTTGCTGCAGAACTAACCCTCACCATTCACTGACACTGAAAAACTTAGCTGCAGAACTAACTCTCACCATTCACTGGCAGTGGAAAACTTTGCTGCAGAACTAAACTTCCACAGGAAAGTTTTCAATACTTCACATGGCTACCAACAATTGGAAATTGTAAACAAATTAGCAGTTATTTTACTTGATTATTATAATTATTTTAAAATATAACCCTGATTTTAAAAAGTGAATTTAAAATTGCTTATCATAATAAACATAGATGTTCTAATTACAATAAATAAAGTGAATTTTGTTCCCAGAATGTAAATATGGCTATAAAAGATGACCCTATCAGCATGGCTATCTATCACATGGCTGTAGCTTAGTACTGGGGCTGGTACTGTGGGGCGTAGGCTGGCTGCTGCCCGTGGTGGGGGTAAGCTTGGAACTGGGTGTGTCCTACCATCTGGTTCCCTGGTTTCTGTAGAGGTGGCACCCCCTTTCTGTACACAAGCATCTTCAGCACAGGCTTCTTTCGTATGCTGTCTACTGCTTGTTTATGTGTAACTAGAGTAAAGTCTTTACCATTCACCTACACAGAACAAATAGTTGACAGTATTTTACATCAGTGCACAAGTTAAATAACTTAACCTTTGAACTCCTAGGCCACATTTCTCACTCCCCCAATACTATAGAAAGGGGCTGTACTCTTTAAAATATAATCTAAATATAGTAGTGTTGGTCATTTAAAAAATTCTCAATAAAATATTTTTTTCTTCAACAAACAAAACATTTTTTTAAAGAAAAGTGAAATAAACAACAAAATATAAATGAAGTCTTTATATTATCTAGTTGAACAAAATAAATTAATTCATAACAGTGCTGACGACACGTGCTTCATCGTAATGGATGTAGCAAAGTAAATCACTATTACTACTATTAGTAGTGATTCCCATCTTTAGAAGTAACCACAAGTCAGCATATCATGTTAAAATGTATTAAATTCAATACTAAAATTATTTATTTTCATCTAAATCATACATGTCCCCATTATAACTTAGTCCAAAGGCATCTGTAAACAAACACCAAAGTCATGTAGCTACAGCAAAATAGTGAAATTTTGTAAACGTTTTTTTTTTAAAAAATCTCTTTTAATCTAAACCTAAGTCTGCACACTTTCGAATGCAAAAAATACAGAAAGAATGTGTGTTTTCTGTTTCTTTAAGCTGGAGAGTTTTTATTTTAATAAATAGCTGTAAAAAATTGAATCGGCTGACATAATTTAAAAAAGAGGTGTCTGGCAACATCAGGCCTTAGCAGTAGAGGAGACATTTGGCAACATCAGGCCTTAGCAGTAGAGGAGACATTTGGCAACATCAGGCCTTAGCAGTAGAGGAGACATTTGGCAACATCAGGCCTTAGCAGTAGAGGAGACATTTGGCAACATCAGGCCTTAGCAGTAGAGGAGACATTTGGCAACATCAGGCCTTAGCAGTAGAGGAGACATTTGGCAACATCAGGCCTTAGCAGTAGAGGAGACATTTGGCAACATCAGGCCTTAGCAGTAGAGGAGACATTTGGCAACATCAGGCCTTAGCAGTAGAGGAGACATTTGGCAACATCAGGCCTTAGCAGTAGAGGAGACATTTGGCAACATCAGGCCTTAGCAGTAGAGGAGACATTTGGCAACATCAGGCCTTAGCAGTAGAGGAGACATTTGGCAACATCAGGAGTTAAATGGTTAAAGGACTAAATGCTCTTACATTTTTTACTAAATGTGATTCAATATAAGCTTTATATAACAGACTTGGATAGACAAGGGTACTGACACAATGTTCCACCATCAAGAGTGACTGAAGAAAATGTTCAGGAATGTTTTAAGTCATGGGTGAAATAATTAGCTGAAGCATCGTCCCCTAATTCTGTTTGATCAGAGAATGAAACAATTACCTGGAGAATTTTATCATGTAACTGTAATCCACACCGGGAGGCTGGACTGTTGTCATGGATGTAGGTCACATAAACACCCTGGTGGAACACAATTTGGGCCATGAAATATTTTTTTATAATAAAGACTAGCTCAGCTGAAAGCAGCTGTGTATAATTTTAATACTTATCATTTTAACTGTTATTGCTAAGACATGATGCTGCTCTATGTGATTAGTTGGATCTATATGCAGCACAGATTGGTGTTAAACTAAAACATTGATTCTCTATCAACGAAGCCATACATATAAATGTGATGTGTATAACTTATATAAATAGTAATATTTAAGTCTTTCTTGTTTTACTAGCCATATCTGGGATGTGAACATAATTTCACATACAGAATTAGTGTTAAAAACCTACTTTTGAATTAAAAAGATTGTTTTACTTTCACTTTTACATCATTTTGATTTTGGAGAAATATGAGTTGATAAGACATTTTATAAAAAGAAAATTTAACTTGTGATAAACAATTAATGTCAAACACTTAATCCACCACAATGAGTTGAATGAGTGGCTTAGTGAATCATTTGACTAAAACCACTTACTTTATCTGGATAACCCTGGGGACTTTGTGATGGATCTTGGTCAATGCCTCCCCCTATCCTAAACCCACATCTGTACCGTGGTTTTCCATCAGGCTCTCGCATTGGGTTGCCATGTTGATCAATGTCTTGTTCTTTTTCTAACACAATAGGGATCTGCAAGAGATAAAAATAGTTTTACACAACCAGTTGCTGCTATTTCATAAATGCTTGGATTTTATATATGTAATATCAGGAGCATAAATCACTAGGTCTTTTACACATAGCACTGCTATTTTCAGTTATATTTAGGTCTAATGAAAAAAGAATGCTCTACTGATTGAACTATTCAATAAAATTATAATTAAACTAAGATAATTCATGCAAAATTATGTTTTTTTAAGTTTTTTAGTTGGTCAAATTTAGGACTAAGCCAATTTTAAATGGTTTTAACTTCAACCGATTTGGTTTTCATTAATTTTTTTTAACTTTGTATTACATTTAAAAAAATAAAAACACACACATATAGGCCTAGTGCCCTAGTACAACCTATTTTATAAGAGTTAATATAATTTTTAAAATTTTATTTTATTAATTAATTGTGTTTTGAGTTTTGTGAAGCATGACACCTCTGAGACAGCAAAAACTGAATTCATCATTTTCATGAGAGGAAATTCATGGACGAGATGTAGGCTAATTAATATTTGCTGTTCAGTGTTCAAGAGCGTGAAAACAATTAAAAATAGATATAACCTTAAATAAGGAAAATCCCCCATAATCCAAATGTGTAGCTAATAATTTACTTTGGCTAATGGACTGGTGTTTGTACACATTTTTTTTTTCTGACCATAGATTTCTAGATCTAGACTCTAGAGTCTAGACGTAGTATAGAAGTAGAAAGCTCTAGATTCTAGATCTAGAAAGAAATCGGTCGAAGTTAGAGCCGTCTATCCTAGACTACTTTACCCATGTGGCTAAGTCATAATTTACTGTTATGAGCATGAATGCTGCACTGCTTCTGAACAGAGCCTGTGCCAGCAGACAGTCTGACTGAGCTGAGGTCTGAGCAGAGCGAGAGTTGCAGAGGCTTCAACTCAAACAGTAAAAAATAAACCGGTACAATATATTATATTTTCTGAATAGTTAACTAAATGCATGCACACAGTAATTTAAAGAGTAAACATTATTATTTACGATTCCAGGTCAAAGTTTTGGCAACTTACACTGTAGCATTCTAGCGGTTCTCCGGCGGTATGGCCAGCCATTTTGTTTTTATTGTTTTTTTTTATACGGAAGTTTACCGGAACCGGAAAATGTAATGGTTGTAGCGTCTGTGGAGACAGATAATTTCTTGATCATAGTCAGTTCCTTTACTTAGGTTTAGGTCTCTAAATCTAGATCTAGATTTGATTTAGAACTTGAATTCAGCACGACGACATTTTAAAATGGTTCGAAGTAAGAATAATAGTTCCAAATTTTGATATACCTATAAAAATTAGTATTAAGATAAAAAATTAAATGCTTAAATTTGTTAAATTAAACAGTCTCTAGTGTTAGTCAGAAGAGTCTAGTAACTAGATCTTGATTAGATCTAAATCTAGTAGTAGTAGTACTACTCTAGTAAGGGGTCATCCATAAATGACGTCACACTCGTAGGGGGGAGGGGGGTCCGTAATTTTGTGACGATGTGTGATGAGGGGGAGGGGGGGTCAGATGTTGCGACGTCACACTGTTGCATTATAAAAAAGCAATGTTAGAAAACGAATTTTAGACGTTATTTCGCATTTTAGATAGATCTAACTGTTTAAATAAATTGAAATAGTTTAGACAAGATTTTAGAAAAATATCGATGTTTTAAAAAAATTCAACTCCAATTTTGAGGGGGGTTGTAGGTTGAGGTGTGACGTCATTTTAGGGGGGTGGGGGTCTGGCTTTTTGTGACGACGTGTGTCGGAGGGGAGGGGGTGGGAGGTAAAAATCGTCAAAAAAAGCGTAACATCATTTATGGATGACCCCTAAACTAGTTACTAGTTAGTAGTACTCTAGCTACGTCAGGCCTAATAAAAATAAAATAAAAAAATAATAGCCTAATATCATACTAATATGTAGGCTAATATTTAGGGCTTAGATCCATTCATCAGTACTAGATCTAAGTAGCCTACTAAGTTTAATTTTTAATTTCAACAGTTGACTCAATGAAAAAAATACATTCAAAATCAACAATACTAAAGTACATTCCATATATGACTATTAGGTAGGTTAAGATGCCTACCAACAGCTTTATAAAAAACACATTAACAATATTTTTGTCTCAATGAAATAATTTTAATTTCTAGTCACCGAGGATTTAGTCCGCAAAAGAGCTGAACATAACGAATGTCAAATTTCCACACTTGAGGAAATCTCACTGCACCAACAAGACATTGAAAGGTGAGAACTAGCACTGTCAATCTTACAGTCTGATGACATTATATAAAACAAGTAGGCCTATGAGGCCCAAAGCCCAAAGTGGTGCTATTTTATAAATTTTTACATTGTAACATTGCAGAGTATTCTTTCACATAAGCTATATTATGGTGTTATTAGATGTAAGGTATATTCAAGTGTTGATTAGCCTACATTTTTTTTAACAAGCTTTATTTTACTTATAATTTATAGTTTTATAGTAATTTTTTTTCCAAAAAATTTTGGTTAATATGTTCCATGGCATGCAGTCTGTTCACAACCAAGGCACATTTAAAAATCAAAATATTCTTTACACATTTTTTTATAAAGTAATTTACAAACAAAATACATTCCAGGCTTGAGCATTTGGACAAATGGTGCAGGGATTTGAAAATTTTATATTTACAGAGCAATTTAATCCCAAAAATAGGTAGGCCTACATTTTTAAATGGGTATAACTTTCTAAATTGTTACCTATCTGTTCAGATCTTTTTTTTTTATGGATAAATTCATTTATTGAATTGATGGCTTTCTTACTGTGTTTTGTTTCACATCAACAGCATGAAAATTTTGTATTTGAATGACTCAAGGTAACTGCTTAAATTATCCTTGAATTTTCTATTTCTTTCAGAGAATGTTAGCAGACTAAAAAAGTTGGAATACATAAATTTAGCCTTAAACAACATTGAAAAAATTGAGAATCTTGAAGGTATAATATATGAGTATTTTGTGCGACCTCCCCTACCTATTGGCTTTTCCAACTATACAAATTTTTTTTATAAAAATAGCAAATCATTATATCTATCTATATATATATATCTATATATATATATATATATCTATATATATATATCTATATATATATATATATATCTATATATATATATATATCTATATATATATATATATCTATATATATATCTATATCTATCTATCTATCTATATATATATATATCTATATCTATCTATCTATCTATATATATATATATATCTATATATATATATATATCTATATATATATCTATATCTATCTATCTATATCTATCTATATATATATATATATATATATATATATATATATATATATATATATATATATATATATATATATATATATATATATATATATATATATATATATATATATATATATATATATATATATATATGTATATATATATGTATATATATATATATATATATATATATATATATATATATATATATATATATATATATTTATTTATTTATTTATTTATATATAAAATGTTTTTTTTTTTAAATTTATATTTTTCAGGCTGTGAGTCTTTGAAAAAACTAGATTTGACTGTTAACTTTGTGGGAGAGTTAACATCAGTTGAGTCATTAAAAGACTTGTACAATTTTAAAGAACTGTAAGTTATCATTTTAAATAACAGGACTTAAGCTGTACATTGTTTTAATTTATTTATTATCAGAAAACTTATGAGGAAAATATTCATGTTAGTTGTCTTTTTTTTATATTAAAACTAAAACCTAAAAAAAACTTATAGATTCTTAACAGGGAATCCATGTGCAGATTTTGAACATTACAGGGAGTTTGTTATTGCTACCCTACCCCAACTACAGGTAAGTTAAATATTTCATGTTATACATATCATTAGCTAGTAAACTAAATAATATTAAAAAGCTCTAGTACAGGAAAGAAAGAGAACAATAAATAATAAGTTTTAAATGTTTACATTTAACTAAGCTTTGCCTAATATTGTTCTGTCACTGACTTAACCTTGTTGGATAAATGTCTCTGCAAAATTTGTTCTCTCCCTTTAGTGGCTGGATGGGGTGGAGATAGAGAAGTCAGAAAGGATCAAGGCCATACAGGTCAGGTTGACTAGTACTCCTGTTCCTTAATGTCACAGTACCCCATACAATATTTTCACATGAATGTCAAATGAAATTTTTTTTTACCTCCGTCTTACCATCATGGCACATTTTTTATAAAAAGACCCCTCCTAAAATAACTTCACACCTCAGCCTACCACCCCCCCCCTCCAAATTGTAATTCTATTTTTAAAAAAAAAACAGCAATTTCTTCTGAACTATTTACTATCAACATACAGTATACTGATACATTTTTATTAAAATTTCCAAATAAAAAAATCTGTGAAATTAATTTACTAATAATACTTTTATAAATATAAGTGTGTATTCACCCCCTACCTCTCATCACACAGTATCACAAAAGTCCAGACCCTTTCAACCTCCATCTCTTGAAATGTGTCATCATTTATTGATGAACCCCCCCCCCTCCCCATACACACACTTCCCAAGTTCCAAGCTTGAGATATTTTTAATTATTTGCTAGCCATTAACCTTTGATAAAAAAATGTATTAGTTTCTGTGAGATGTTAATATTTGCTTTTGTTTGCCACAGGTGAAGGATGTAACTGTAAAGAATCAAACCTTTAATGTGCACTTTTCAATTTCAGAACCTTCCTTTTATTAGAGGGTACATCCTAGAGCAACAAGCAAGATACAAGTTGAAACGGGTGTGTGCACACTACATTTTAACTGGATTTGTTTGATGATTTTTTATTTATTTACCTCTATGTTTAACTGGAGTGGAAGGAAATTGAATAATTTTTTATTTATTTACCCCTATGTTTAACTAGAGTGGAAGGAAATTGTTGGATGATTTTTTATTTATTTACTCCTATGTTTAACTGGAGTGGAAAGAAATTGTTGGATGATTTTTTATTTATTTACTCCTATGTTTAACTTTTATTGGATGATTTTTTATTTATTTACCCCTATGTTTAACTTTGAGTGGAAGGAAATTGAATGATTTTTTTATTTATTTACCCCTATGTTTAACTGGAGTGGAAGGAAATTGTTGGATAATTTTTTATTTATTTACCCCTATGTTTGATTCCAGGCCAAAGAAAAAGCAGAGGCTCTTGAAAAGCTAAAGCAGAAATCTAAAGACTGTGAAGGGGCAGATGGGGATGGCAATAACAAGGAGAATAAGCCTGGCTATGATGGACGATGGTACACAGACATCAATGACAGGTTGGGAACTCAAACTTACCCTTGCCATAAACCTAAACCCAACTGATGTGTTTCCAGCTAACTACAATTTCAAGTGCTAGAAATTTTAGTGATTCTTTTATTTGAACATTAACAAAGCTGTAGAAATGCTAGGGATACAATAACTTTCCAATAGTTTGCTAGAACATAACATGCACTTCTTATGCCGATCTAAAAGTCGCTGATAAAATTATTTGACTTCAAGATAGTCTTCGGTGGACAATGTCATTTAAAATAAACAGCATCTATACTGTCTGACACCCCTACATTTTATCTAGCATTATTTTTTTTACACCACCAATTATGATTCACTGTTTAAGCAATACACATTTTTTCTTGCAGTTTTTTCAATGAAATATAGGCTTACACTTACAAGATTACATTTAGATATTTTATCTCATTACTTTTAGTGACACTCAAGACAAAGTCCAAGAAACTAACAAGGAAAATGAGAAAGAAAAGTCACACGAAGAAAAAGTTGACGAGTAAGAGAAGTTTGAGTTAATGGTGGAAAAAAGAAAGATTTAGGATGGTTCATTGAACAATAGTTGTCACTCTGTTATCAATGTTACATTAAGGGTCGTGTGGTCGAGCCAGTAAATCTCATGGCAGCTAAACTGACAAGTCTTGAGTTCAAACCCTCTGGCAAATGAGGCTCGATAGCTGGGGACAGCAACTCATCTAGGGGAGACAACTCCAAAATCAAACAACTGCTGCCTTGTAGTTTGTTCTTGGTTGGATGAAAGCTATGGAAGCAAATCCAAAAAGAAAAGCAGGCTGAAATTGGAGTCAACAGCCCATATGGCGCATAACAAGTTGACATGTAATACTTAATTGTGTTGGAGGGAATCCCTTCCTAACACTACAATTAGGAATGAAGAAGAAGAATGTTACATTTTGTTAATGAATTCAACTTTGATTTATTTTTAAAGGCTGATTAACAAAATATAAATTTTAAAAAAAATATAATTGATTACTGAAATTTTTCAGTTCCAATTTAAAAAATACCTTTGTTTTCCAGCTTCTGGAAGGAAACATCCACGTACAGCCCAGAATCCAGGCTGGAGGTACATAATCATCTGAAAGAACTGAAGGAAAAGGAGAATAAAAAGCAAGTACATTTTTACGCTTTAACAAGTTAAATGTTTCTTTGAATTAAACTATAAGTAAATTAAAATAAACAGCATGCAAAAATTATTAGATTTGAGCATATAGAATTCTGTAAAGTTTGTAAAGATTTTAAAATATAAACAGTAAGTTACAAGTCAAAAGTGATAGTTGGTTTTACACCTTAGTTAATAAATAAAAAAATAAGTGTGATTTTATGTAAAATGACATTTCATGTGTCCATGTTTCATATGAGATCAGTGAAAATTTAGTCCTAAAGATAGGTATATGCAAATCTCTGCAGCTTTACTTTTCCTCCTTGATAGATTTGTTATCCCTTTAATTTGTTATGCTAGTTCTGTCATATCAGGCTTGTAATTCCTGCTGTTTACTGTTTTGTAATTCCTGCTGTTTACTGTTAGCCCTCTCATATTAGGCTTGTAATTCCTGCTGTTTACTGTTTTGTAATTCCTGCTGTTTACTGTTAGCCCTCTCATATTAGGCTGCTAATTCCTGCTGTTTACTGTTAGCCCTCTCATATTAAGCTTGCAATTCCTGCTGTTTACTGTTTAGGGAAGACAAGGATGTAAAAAAAGAACGAAAACTTTTTGCTGAAGACGGTCGACCTTTTAATGTGAATGAACCCAAGTAAGTCAAATTACCATCCCAGGGGGTCGGTGTGGCCAAGTCGGTAAAGCTCATGGTTGCTAAACCGAAAAATCTCGAGTTCGAACTCTCGGGCAGATGAGGCTCGTTAGCTGGGGACAGCCACTCTTCTAGGAGAGACGACTCCAAAATCAAACAACTGCTGCATTGTAGTTTGTTCTTGGTTGGACAAAGGCTATGGAATCAAATCCAAAAAGAAAAGCAGGCCGAAATCGTAGTTAACGGCCTATATGGCGCACAAGAACTTGACACATATACTTAATTGTGTTGGAGGTAATCCCTTTCAACACTAAAATTAAGAACGAAGAAGAAGAAAGAAAGAAAAAAATAACCATCCTAATAATTATGACAATTATAATTTTACTTAAGAAGTTGCTTAATTCAATAGGTCAAACATAATTTAGAGATTATAATGCCTTTCCATAAATCTCCTTTTTTAAAATAGGTTAAAACAAAAATCAAATAATAATTAAAAAATCAGCAATTTGGTTTATTTTTGAGTTTCCATATTTCAGAGTTGATTTCACATTGACTGAAGATGGTGAAAATATTTTTCTTGATGTGGCTATCTTCAAGTAAGTTGTTTTTGTTAACACAGTAGGCTACTGGTCATCCTATTTTTGTTACAATAGGCTACTGGTTTTGTTAACACTGTAGGCTACTGATCATCCTATTTTTGTTACAGTAGGCTACTGGTCATCCTATTTTTGTTAACACAGTAGGCTACTGGTCATCCTATTTTTGTTAACACAGTAGGCTACTGGTCATCCTATTTTTGTTACAGTAGGCTACTGGTCATCCTATTTTTGTTAACACTGTAGGCTACTGATCATCCTATTTTTGTTAACACAGTAGGCTACTGGTCATCCTATTTTTGTTACAGTAGGCTACTGGTCATCCTATTTTTGTTAACACTGTAGGCTACTGATCATCCTATTTTTGTTAACACTGTAGGCTACTGGTCATCCTATTTTTGTTAACATAGTAGGCTACTGGTCATCCTATTTTTGTTAACACTGTAGGCTACTGGTTTTGTTAACACTGTAGGTTACTGGTTTTGTTAACACGGTAGGCTACTGGTTTTGTTAACACAGTAGGCTACTGATCATCCTAGTGTTTAGGTTTTTATTTATTTACTATAAACTGACTCAACAGAATGGCATACAAATGCATGCTCCAACAGCACTAATTGAGTTACAATATTAGAATGTCATGATTTTATTTGTTTTGAAATGTGTTCTTAATTTTATTCTTCTGTACAGACACATGGACACATCTCTGCTTGATTGTGATGTTCAACCAAATTTTGTACGTGTGACACTCAAAGGAAAGGTAAGCATGTGATGTTCAACCAAATTTTGTACGTGTGACACTCAAAGGAAAGGTAAGCATGTGATGTTCAACCAAATTTTGTACGTGTGACACTCAAAGGAAAGGTAAGATTGTGATGTTCAACCAAATTTTGTACGTGTGACACTCAAAGGAAAGGTAAGCATGTGATGTTCAACCAAATTTTGTACGTGTGACACTCAAAGGAAAGGTAAGCATGTGATGTTCAACCAAATTTTGTACGTGTGACACTCAAAGGAAAGGTAAGATTGTGATGTTCAACCAAATTTTGTACGTGTGACACTCAAAGGAAAGGTAAGCATGTGATGTTCAACCAAATTTTGTACGTGTGACACTCAAAGGAAAGGTAAGATTGTGATGTTCAACCAAATTTTGTACGTGTGACACTCAAAGGAAAGGTAAGCATGTGATGTTCAACCAAATTTTGTACGTGTGACACTCAAAGGAAAGGTAAGCATGTGATGTTCAACCAAATTTTGTACGTGTGACACTCAAAGGAAAGGTAAGCATGTGATGTTCAACCAAATTTTGTACGTGTGACACTCAAAGGAAAGGTAAGATTGTGATGTTCAACCAAATTTTGTACGTGTGACACTCAAAGGAAAGGTAAGATTGTGATGTTCAACCAAATTTTGTACGTGTGACACTCAAAGGAAAGGTAAGATTGTGATGTTCAACCAAATTTTGTACGTGTGACACTCAAAGGAAAGGTAAGATTGTGATGTTCAACCAAATTTTGTACGTGTGACACTCAAAGGAAAGGTAAGCATGTGATGTTCAACCAAATTTTGTACGTGTGACACTCAAAGGAAAGGTAAGATTGTGATGTTCAACCAAATTTTGTACGTGTGACACTCAAAGGAAAGGTAAGCATGTGATGTTCAACCAAATTTTGTATGTGTGACACTCAAAGGAAAGGTAAGCATGTGATGTTCAACCAAATTTTGTACGTGTGACACTCAAAGGAAAGGTAAGCATGTGATGTTCAACCAAATTTTGTACGTGTGACACTCAAAGGAAAGGTAAGCATGTGATGTTCAACCAAATTTTGTACGTGTGACACTCAAAGGAAAGGTAAGCATGTGATGTTCAACCAAATTTTGTACGTGTGACACTCAAAGGAAAGGTAAGCATGTGATGTTCAACCAAATTTTGTACGTGTGACACTCAAAGGAAAGGTAAGATTGTGATGTTCAACCAAATTTTGTACGTGTGACACTCAAAGGAAAGGTAAGATTGTGATGTTCAACCAAATTTTGTATGTGTGACACTCAAAGGAAAGGTAAGCATGTGATGTTCAACCAAATTTTGTACGTGTGACACTCAAAGGAAAGGTAAGATTGTGATGTTCAACCAAATTTTGTACGTGTGACACTCAAAGGAAAGGTAAGCATGTGATGTTCAACCAAATTTTGTACGTGTGACACTCAAAGGAAAGGTAAGCATGTGATGTTCAACCAAATTTTGTACGTGTGATACTCAAAGGAAAGGTAAGCATTGATTGGTAGCACAATCAGTTTCTACCATTTTTGTGTTCAAATTGTATTGACTTCCATCATAAAGGAATTATTTGTGTCTATTGATATATTTGCCAAATGAATCTTTTGGTCTGAAAGGACAACTTTATTTATTGTCTCCATCACAAAGAGTGAGTTTGGTTGTTATTGACTCCCATTAAAAAGAGTTAGTTTGGTGTTTATTGCCTCCCATAACAAGGAGTGAGTTGTGTGTTTACTGACTCCCATTAAAATGAGTTAGTTTGGTGTTTATTGCCTCCCTTAACAAGGAGTGAGTTGTGTGTTTACTGACTCCCATTAAAAAGAGTGAGTTGTGTGTTTACTGACTCCCGTTAAAAAGAGTTAGTTTGGTGTTTATTGCCTCCCATCACAAAGAGTGAGTTGTGTGTTTACTTGTTTCCATTAAAAAGAGTTAGTTTGGTTTCTATTGCCTCCCATCAAAACGAGTGAGTTTTGTATTTCAGATGTTGCAGCTGGCACTGAGTGAAGAAGTGAATGGAGATGCCAGTGTGGCTAAGAGATCCCAAACAACAGGTCATCTGTTGGTCACCATGCCAAAGGTAAGGGGATGAAATACTTCTATGGTCCTTGCTTGATCTTGACCATACCCTGGTCCATGAGTGGCCTTGACCATACATTAGCTCCATGTGTGACCTTGACCATACATTAGCTCCAGGTGTGACCTTGACCATACATTAGCTCCAGGTGTGGCCTTGACCATACATTAGCTCCAGGTGTGACCTTGACCATACATTAGCTCCAGGTGTGACCTTGACCATACATTAGCTCCAGGTGTGACCTTGACCATACATTAGCTCCAGGTGTGGCCTTGACCATACATTAGCTCCAGGTGTGACCTTGACCAAGTATATACATTTTTACTAATTGTTATTTTTTAAATCGCTGTTTAGTCAAATTTAAAATGTACACATGCCTACTGCACACAAGAAGTTTTTAAAATAACATAATCTTTTGTATAAACTTTATTATCCTTAAACAGAAATCTTTGTTTTGAAAATATTTAAAGATAAAAAAGTAAGGTACAAAAAGAAAATTTTACAATTATAAAAAATATGTTCATTAAATGTATAACTATCTTATTAATATATATGAAAAATTATTTTGCTTATTGTAAACATACAATGAAAATATTAAATCTATCTTGACTTTTCAATAGAGATGAAATCGTAACTTTAAATCATAACAATGGCAACTTATAAAGCATTAGCAACATAATATCTTGTATGTAATAAAGGTTAAACATGTATTAATATGCTAAGTGTGACAGAAATGAAAACAAAATATTTTGTAAAAAAAAAAATCCATATCAGAACACAGTTGATAATATCAGAATAATTTACCAGTTAACAGAAAAACTAAAACAGCCTCGGTTAAATAATGTCTTGAACAGGTGAAACCAATACTCAAACCCAAACCATTGAAGGACGTACAACAAAACCCACCTAAAGAGGAAAAGGATCAAACTAAAAGGTTTGCATTTTCATTTCTTCTGTTGACAACATTGTTATTTATTAATGTTTGGAACACAGAAATTTCTCTACCAATAATTGCTGCAAGCAAATAAATGCAATACGTGACTACATGAATAACACACTTTTTAAAATAATGCCATAGCTTGCATGCATTCACCTCGTATCTGAAAAGTTTCCCTTTAGGACTAATGATCCTTAGTAGGATAGATGAAGTAGAGCTCATCAGTTTCATGGCAAAAAAAATTAAGGGTCAGCACTATGCCCAGTTGCTTTACCTTTCCATAAATTGAGTCATGTACCCATGAAAACAGAATGATCAACCAAGTTTTAAGAATATGTTTAAAAAAAATTCTGTCAAAAATTTCCAGCCCAATAAATTTCCTGGAGGTGGATTCCAGTGCTAGGAAATGTGTAGATTTGACAAGTATAGTGTCTGACAACCAGACCAAGCTCACCGGGACATTGCCATTTGGGACTAGAAGCATCAAGAGAGAAGCACCGGAGCGAGAAAACAGCTCAGATTTTGTTGACGACCCAGATGTCCCTCCCCTCATCTGACTTGTTTCATCTTTGTTTTAAACTTCAATTTGAGCATTTACAAAATAAATTAGTTTGTTCAAGATACTCAGCATTGATATTTTTTAAATAAAATTAATCAAAACCATTTGTAGATAAGGTTTTGTTTGTAGAAGAATTTGAAAAAAAAAAGAAAAGATAAAAGTAACATTTGTAGAAGAATCACAGAATGACATCATATAAGTACATGAGCAATAACTGTAGGTTAGATTATTTAGTAACAAGGTCATTAAAACAAAGAAAAAAGTTAGGTCACAGGTCATTTTGTATACATGGTCATTCAAACAAAACAAAAAACTAACAATTTTTTGGCGCAACTTCACAACATAAAGTTGAGATAATAAAGCTCTATCTAGTATTACATTCATTTAACATTTGGAAAAACATGTCAACATCAGCAAGTAACTCTTTCTATTACCATAAGATCAAACTTTAACCTATGCTCTTCAATAAGTTGCTACTAGTTGCTTTATGGTAATAAGCAAATTTGTACCAAGGTTAATTAAAAATTTTCTCATTAAGACTTTAGATGTATAAGATAACTGCTAAGTTGGTCAAAAATGTCCAAAATATAATTTTTTTTTTTTTGATGACTACAATTGCGTAAGACTCATTTTAAGCTGAAGTTAGCACACAGTTATGACTTAATTAAAACTAACTTTTAAAAGTAATAAGCATCAATGTGTATCTTTAAATAGTGGATTCAAGAAGTGTGAGACACTTAACCCATTCAAGAGGCTTGAGACACTTAACCCACTGAGAATTACAAAATCTCATCGATGTTGTCCACCAAGTTAAAATGCTTGAAAGTGTTAAGGGTATAGATGCTTGTCAAAACAAAGTTACACGTCAAATAAACTTGCCTTAAATGCAATTTCAAGTTAATAAAGCGGTAGTAGTCTCCCCTAAACTTTCTAGAATGTTCTTATATAACAATAAGGGGGCGCTATTACTAGTGCAATCTGACTACAGAAACGTTTTTTATTATTTGTTTTAATTCTTAAATTTTTAAATACTTTAGAATCACGTAGAAAAAAAAATTGCGCACCAATTGAACACAATGTGTATATAATGGAGTGGAAAATAATTTATAAATAAAACATTGATTAATTTAAGTTAACAGTCAATTAGGTCACATTGCATTGTCACCGAGTCTTGACCTACGTAAAAAGCTTGAAAGTAATTGGTTCAGTAGAAGTGGTCAATATCTTTGCTCGCATGTTTCCACCCATAATGGATGATAAAGAGAGGAATAAAGTTTAATAAATTCTTATGGCTTTTTTGAGAATTTGGAAATAGTGTAAAGTGCTACTTCCAGTCACCGGATATCATTCAAAATTTAACAGAAATAAGTGAATAAGATCTTGTATATCTATCTAATGACACATCTAAAATCAGTGGGTCGGTGTGTCTTATTTATGTTTTAAATTATATTTGTATTGATGTTTGCAAAATTTATACAGCTTGTTGTGTTATAGCTGTCACTACTAAATTTATTCCATGTGGAGCGCACCTTTTGTCATTAAATTACCATCAATTAAAATTGAACAAAACGTCACATGAACAATGAATAAACAAATTAAAGATTCTGATCACACATCTAGTTGACATGAACACATTTGTGTTTTAGTAAAATTTTCTGTTAGAAAGTAATTGAACTTCCTAAAGCATTTACAAAATGATCTAAGGTATGTGAGGATCTTACTAGCTGGGAGCTTAACTGGGAGGAAGGTGATATGTTTTTTTTACTTTGATGCTCTCAGTCTGATTAAATATTTTGTATACATACACATATATCAAATGGTTGTTTTTACATGTTGCAGGACTTAAATGGTTTAGCTGTCTCAATTGCAAAAAAAGTAACTGCATTAAAAAATAAAATATTTTGTGCTTTTTTTGGTAAACTGACGAGTAACTTACACTTTAGTTGTCATCAGCTAGTTCAAATCAGTTTAAAACAGAATTCATGTTTTTAAAAAAAATTTCACCAAATTCCGTCAACAAACTCAAAAGTCTATGCTGTGAGAGGTGTTGTAGTAGCCAGATTCCATTTCAGTGGACTGTGGCCTTGAGGTAGAGGGATCAGTAACACATGGCTCCGCATTTAGAATATTCAAGAACTTGTTTTCCAAATTACTGCATGGCATTCCAGAACTTTCATTCAAATTGTTCATTTTGAAACCAATGGTAACAACCTTCGCGTCTTCCTTAGTCGAAAGATTTCTCTTGGCTCCAAACTTTTCTATACATGTAGATTTGACTTTAGGATTTTCAACAGTGTTTTTATTTGCCTTCTTTTTGTTCTGTTTTTTCTTCTTGGGCATGCTGAGCTCTAGCCGTTGCCAGAATTTCTTCTCTCTCTTCTCATACTCCACTTTTTCTTGAGAGATACTGGACTTGAAACATTTCTCACTCATCTCTGTGTGCCAGATTTCTTTATCATTCTTGGCTGAAGGTACTCCAAGCTCAGGTCTCTGTACATCAGTTCGCTGCTTCAGGCGCGGGTGGTTCAGACATTTCACAGACTCTAAAATGTATTTCAACGATTTGTCCAGCTTCACTTGATCCTAAAAACAATATTACAAATATAAAACCAGTTCGAAATTTATGATGAAAATTGAAAACATAATCTGATTAGTTGGTCTTAAATATAAATGAAAATATTCCATTCTTCTTCTTTGATCTTAATTGTAATGTTGGACAGGATTTCCTCCAACATAATGAAGTTTAACTTGTCATCATATTATGTACCATACGGCCTGTTGACTCAGATTTCATTCTGCTTTTTATTCTAAATTTGCTTCCATAGTCTTTGTCCATTCAAGAACAAACTACAAGGCAGCAGTTGAAATACAGTTGTTTGATTTTGGAGTTTACTCTCCTAGATGGGTTGCTGTCCCCAACTGTCATGCCTCATCTGCCAGGGGTTCGTATCCAGTTTATCAGCCATGGGCTTTATCGGCCTGACCACCTGACCCCAACATTACATTAAAAGAACACTTTTTACTAAAGATATTTCAAATGAAGAAAATATTTTAAAAAATTTAAATCAAATTTCTGGGGCTTGATATAAAAAAAAAAAAAAGAGAAAAATGTATATATGCTTACCTTATCAATGTCTTCAAGAATGATTGGGATGATCCTCTGTTTTAGCTTCAAGGTCTCATGTTGTGCAATCAGATACTCAAATCTGTTCCACTCATTACTGAGGTAATCTGACGTCACCACCATAATCGTCCGTCTGCTTTTCTCAAGGGCTGACAGTATTATATCACTCAAGGCTGATAAATAAATTAATTAATTAAAATTGTTAATCAATAGGAAGCTGTTAGCAAGCTGTTCAATTCAGTCAGAAGTGAATTAGAAAACTAAGGCAAATTAGTTAAAAACTTATTATTATGTGTAAGCTTACAATATAAATGGCACTTGTTTATAGTAACATCCCTCGTATAGTTTCTAAGGCCTACTCTGCTTATGGGCCTACAATAGGGCTGGTAAGTAGGTCACCAACCAGTACTATGGCTCATGCAGGTTTTATTGAGCCGTAGAACTGGTTGGTGACCTACTTACCAGCCCCATTGTGGCCTACAACTTTCTGCCGTCTTACCTTCATTAGAAGGGCTGTCCCTAGTCTTACCTTCATTAGAAGGGCTGTCCCTGGCCTGAATGTACACAGTCTTACCTTCATTAGAAGGGCTGTCCCTGGCCTGAATGTACACAGTCTTACCTTCATTAGAAGGGCTGTCCCTGGCCTGAATGTACACCGTCTTACCTTCATTAGAAGGGCTGTCCCTAGTCTTACCTTCATTAGAAGGGCTGTCCCTGTCTTACCTTCATTAGAAGGGCTGTCCCTGGCTTGAATGTACACCGTCTTACCTTCATTAGAAGGGCTGTCCCTGGCCTGAATGTACACCGTCTTACCTTCATTAGAAGGGCTGTCCCTGGCTTGAATGTACACAGTCTTACCTTCATTAGAAGGGCTGTCCCTAGTCTTACCTTCATTAGAAGGGCTGTCCCTGTCTTACCTTCATTAGAAGGGCTGTCCCTGGCCTGAATGTACACAGTCTTACCTTCATTAGAAGGGCTGTCCCTGGCTTGAATGTACACAGTCTTACCTTCATTAGAAGGGCTGTCCCTAGTCTTACCTTCATTAGAAGGGCTGTCCCTGTCTTACCTTCATTAGAAGGGCTGTCCCTGGCTTGAATGTACACAGTCTTACCTTCATTAGAAGGGCTGTCCCTGGCCTGAATGTACACCGTCTTACCTTCATTAGAAGGGCTGTCCCTGGCCTGAATGTACACCGTCTTACCTTCATTAGAAGGGCTGTCCCTGGCTTGAATGTACACAGTCTTACCTTCATTAGAAGGGCTGTCCCTGGCTTGAATGTACACAGTCTTACCTTCATTAGAAGGGCTGTCCCTGGCTTGAATGTACACCATCTTACCTTCATTAGAAGGGCTGTCCCTGGCTTGAATGTACACAGTCTTACCTTCATTAGAAGGGCTGTCCCTGGCTTGAATGTACACCGTCTTACCTTCATTAGAAGGGCTGTCCCTGGCTTGAATGTACACCGTCTTACCTTCATTAGAAGGGCTGTCCCTGGCTTGAATGTACACAGTCTTACCTTCATTAGAAGGGCTGTCCCTAGTCTTACCTTCATTAGAAGGGCTGTCCCTGTCTTACCTTCATTAGAAGGGCTGTCCCTGGCTTGAATGTACACAGTCTTACCTTCATTAGAAGGGCTGTCCCTGGCCTGAATGTACACCGTCTTACCTTCATTAGAAGGGCTGTCCCTGGCTTGAATGTACACAGTCTTACCTTCATTAGAAGGGCTGTCCCTAGTCTTACCTTCATTAGAAGGGCTGTCCCTGTCTTACCTTCATTAGAAGGGCTGTCCCTGGCTTGAATGTACACAGTCTTACCTTCATTAGAAGGGCTGTCCCTGGCCTGAATGTACACAGTCTTACCTTCATTAGAAGGGCTGTCCCTGGCTTGAATGTACACAGTCTTACCTTCATTAGAAGGGCTGTCCCTGGCTTGAATGTACACAGTCTTACCTTCATTAGAAGGGCTGTCCCTGGCCTGAATGTACACAGTCTTACCTTCATTAGAAGGGCTGTCCCTGGCTTGAATGTACACAGTCTTACCTTCATTACAAGGGCTGTCCCTGGCCTGAATGTACACAGTCTTACCTTCATTAGAAGGGCTGTCCCTGGCTTGAATGTACACAGTCTTACCTTCATTAGAAGGGCTGTCCCTGGCTTGAATGTACACCGTCTTACCTTCATTAGAAGGGCTGTCCCTGGCTTGAATGTACACCGTCTTACCTTCATTAGAAGGGCTGTCCCTGGCTTGAATGTACACAGTCTTACCTTCATTAGAAGGGCTGTCCCTAGTCTTACCTTCATTAGAAGGGCTGTCCCTGTCTTACCTTCATTAGAAGGGCTGTCCCTGGCTTGAATGTACACAGTCTTACCTTCATTAGAAGGGCTGTCCCTGGCCTGAATGTACACCGTCTTACCTTCATTAGAAGGGCTGTCCCTGGCTTGAATGTACACAGTCTTACCTTCATTAGAAGGGCTGTCCCTAGTCTTACCTTCATTAGAAGGGCTGTCCCTGTCTTACCTTCATTAGAAGGGCTGTCCCTGGCCTGAATGTACACAGTCTTACCTTCATTAGAAGGGCTGTCCCTGGCTTGAATGTACACAGTCTTACCTTCATTAGAAGGGCTGTCCCTGGCCTGAATGTACACAGTCTTACCTTCATTAGAAGGGCTGTCCCTGGCTTGAATGTACACAGTCTTACCTTCATTAGAAGGGCTGTCCCTGGCTTGAATGTACACAGTCTTACCTTCATTAGAAGGGCTGTCCCTGGCCTGAATGTACACAGTCTTACCTTCATTAGAAGGGCTGTCCCTGGCTTGAATGTACACAGTCTTACCTTCATTACAAGGGCTGTCCCTGGCCTGAATGTACACAGTCTTACCTTCATTAGAAGGGCTGTCCCTGGCTTGAATGTACACAGTCTTACCTTCATTAGAAGGGCTGTCCCTGGCTTGAATGTACACCGTCTTACCTTCATTAGAAGGGCTGTCCCTGGCTTGAATGTACACCGTCTTACCTTCATTAGAAGGGCTGTCCCTGGCTTGAATGTACACAGTCTTACCTTCATTAGAAGGGCTGTCCCTAGTCTTACCTTCATTAGAAGGGCTGTCCCTGTCTTACCTTCATTAGAAGGGCTGTCCCTGGCTTGAATGTACACAGTCTTACCTTCATTAGAAGGGCTGTCCCTGGCCTGAATGTACACCGTCTTACCTTCATTAGAAGGGCTGTCCCTGGCTTGAATGTACACAGTCTTACCTTCATTAGAAGGGCTGTCCCTAGTCTTACCTTCATTAGAAGGGCTGTCCCTGTCTTACCTTCATTAGAAGGGCTGTCCCTGGCCTGAATGTACACAGTCTTACCTTCATTAGAAGGGCTGTCCCTGGCTTGAATGTACACAGTCTTACCTTCATTAGAAGGGCTGTCCCTAGTCTTACCTTCATTAGAAGGGCTGTCCCTGTCTTACCTTCATTAGAAGGGCTGTCCCTGGCTTGAATGTACACAGTCTTACCTTCATTAGAAGGGCTGTCCCTGGCCTGAATGTACACAGTCTTACCTTCATTAGAAGGGCTGTCCCTGGCTTGAATGTACACAGTCTTACCTTCATTAGAAGGGCTGTCCCTGGCTTGAATGTACACAGTCTTACCTTCATTAGAAGGGCTGTCCCTGGCCTGAATGTACACAGTCTTACCTTCATTAGAAGGGCTGTCCCTGGCTTGAATGAACACCGTCTTACCTTCATTAGAAGGGCTGTCCCTGGCTTGAATGTACACAGTCTTACCTTCATTAGAAGGGCTGTCCCTGGCCTGAATGTACAACTTGAACCCAAGATCCTCAAGGACTGGCCTCAGTTCGTTGTAAACAAATTTTTCAGCACTGGCAGTTGGCGTCATGGAGACATAAGCGTCGTACTGTTTACCATCTGTGACAAACACAACAGACAAGTTGATTAATTTATTTTATTTTTTAACAAAAAGGTGTTTGTCGCACAAAAATTAATTTAAATATTGCAGTAGACATGGAAGCTTTGGTTGGAGGTAATAGAAATATAAGACAAATTTCTACGATATCATCTGGCCTTAACCTCTAATACAAGCGACCTGGTTTTTAAAAGCAGAATCATTATAGACCTTTAAGATGTATAAAGACTTAAAAATATTTTCTGAGAGCACGAGTTTCTTCCCTTGTTAGCTTAAAAAGATAGAAGGGAGATAATATAAGCAGTTACTCGTCGTTTACTAGCAGCTAGCAAAGTCATTTATTAGGTCTCAGAGTATGAAATTAAAAAAATTATCTATACGAAGTCTCATGTCTTTAATAACACAATTAATTATCTAATTAAATATATCTCTAAAACCAAATTATTAAGTTATTTCCCCTGCTGAAAACTCCAGCTGGTTGACCCTGCTCTCTCTAGAAGTGTTGGCTTCTGATGTGGCGTTCATCTCTCTAACGAGCCTCGATAATTAGTGAAGCAAAGAACAACCTGTTGATAGCCTGATTAACTGAGCCACTCACCCGAATCCTCGTACTCCTTGAAGTAGTAGACCAGTTTGAGGACGAAGATGACCCTCAATCGCCACAACACCACAGGGACTACGATGGCCAACAGCAGCACAAAGGCGACACACGCCGTCAGCACACCGGCCATGACTCGCGCGTGTTGCTCTTGTTCCTGGGCCTTCACGGTGAGGGCTGGCAGACGACAGAGGTCATTCGTGTTAGAGGAACTAACGACAGGGGTCATTCGTGTTAGAGGAACTAACGACAGGGGTCATTCGTGTTAGAGGAACTAACGACAGGGGTCATTCGTGTTAGAGGAACTAACGACAGGGGTCATTCGTGTTAGAGGAACTAACGACAGGGGTCATTCGTGTTAGAGGAACTAACGACAGGGGTCATTCGTGTTAGAGGAACTAACGACAAGGGTCATTCGTGTTAGGGCAACTAACGACAGGGGTCATTCGTGTTAGGGGAACTAACGACATGGGTCATTCGTGTTAGGGGAACTAACGACATGGGTCATTCGTGTTAGGGGAACTAACGACATGGGTCATTCGTGTTAGAGGAACTAAGGACAAGGGTCATTCGTGTTAGAGGAACTAAGGACAGGGGTCTTATTAGAGGAACTACATGAACTTGGTTTAATCAAGTGGAACTACGTGAACTTGGGTTAAATAAAGGTGAACTACATGAACTTGGGTTAAATTAAGTGGAACTACATTAACTTGGTTTAATCAAGTGGAGCTACATAAACTTGGTTGAATGAAATGTTACATAAGACTCCACCAGGCTTACCTCTTGGGTCTGGCTTAACATTCTCACAGAATTCTCCCTCCCACTCATGTTCACAGTTGCAATAGATGGGCGTGTCATCCGCGAATCCATGACACATCCCATGACCCTTGACACACGGCTTGTCACAAGGTGTGTTGCAGTAGTTCCCCATCCAGCCAGGCTGACACGGGCAGTTCAGTAGTTCAATACAAAATTCGAAGTCGGGGCACCTGTTAGAGGTATGTGGGGGCAGTTGATGACTGCACTAGTTCAATACAAAATGTGAAGTCGGGACAGTTGATGACTGCACTAGTTCAATACAAAATGTGAAGTCGGGACAGTTGATGACTGCACTAGTTCAATACAAAATGTGAAGTCGGGACAGTTGATGACTGCACTAGTTCAATACAAAATGTGAAGTCGGGACAGTTGATGACTGCACTAGTTCAATACAAAATGTGAAGTCGGGACAGTTGATGACTGCACTAGTTCAATACAAAATGTGAAGTCGGGACAGTTGATGACTGCACTAGTTCAATACAAAATGTGAAGTCGGGACAGTTGATGACTGCACTAGTTCAATACAAAATGTGAAGTCGGGACAGTTGATGACTGCACTAGTTCAATACAAAATGTGAAGTCGGGACAGTTGATGACTGCACTAGTTCAATACAAAATGTGAAGTCGGGACAGTTGATGACTGCACTAGTTCAATACAAAATGTGAAGTCGGGACAGTTGATGACTGCACTAGTTCAATACAAAATGTGAAGTCGGGACAGTTGATGACTGCACTAGTTCAATACAAAATGTGAAGTCGGGACAGTTGATGACTGCACTAGTTCAATACAAAATGTGAAGTCGGGACAGTTGATGACTGCACTAGTTCAATACAAAATGTGAAGTCGGGACAGTTGATGACTGCACTAGTTCAATACAAAATGTGAAGTCGGGACAGTTGATGACTGCACTAGTTCAATACAAAATGTGAAGTCGGGACAGTTGATGACTGCACTAGTTCAATACAAAATGTGAAGTCGGGACAGTTGATGACTGCACTAGTTCAATACAAAATGTGAAGTGGGGACAGTTGATGACTGCACTAGTTCAATGCAATATGTGCAGTCGGGGCACCAGTTAAAGATAAGTGGGGTCTACCACTAACGCCCGAAAGAAACGTGCCCCGAAGGCTGTTTTCCCGATGGTCATTTTCCCAAATGGACGTTTGAACGAATGCAACAAATGTCCAAATGGACATTATTTTTTTAAGGGGGGGGGGGGGGGGAGGAGTCGCAAAAAAAAATAAGCGTGACGTAATTTACCCCCCTCTCCCCTATTGAACCTGGGATTTTGCAAAAGACAATAGTAACACATGCGACGATATAAGAGGAGGTACAGATAAGAGACAACAATAAAAAGCGGAGACCCAAACATAGCCTGACATTTTGGTGGATCACATTTTCTCAGGTGGTCTAACACTTACGTGATGTTGTCGTCCATGCAATGGTTGGGTGGCTTGGTAGCTTCTGTAGTAAAACAAGGAGGTCAAGGTCAGTCGTGTTTATACATAAAAGTGTTATTATGTGTAGCATACTCGGTGTAGGTTTTATGTGTGTATGGTGTAGGTTTTTTGTGTTGTGTGTAGACATTCAATATAAGTGGGGTGTTTATCCGGTGTATGTAGAATGTGTATGGATGGTAAGGTTGTGTTATATGTGTAAAGCGTAGGTGTGTTATACGCGAAAATGGTGTGTATGTGCTCTGTGTGTAAGGTGTGTTGTATAATGCTGTTTTACCTTCTAGTGTCGGTTCATCAATGTGCTCTGTGTGTAAGGTGTGTTGTATAATGCTATTTTACCTTCTAGTGTCGGTTCATCAATGTGCTCTGTGTGTAAGGTGTGTTGTATAATGCTGTTTTACCTTCTAGTGTCGGTTCATCAATGTGCTCTGTGTGTAAGGTGTGTTGTATAATGCTGTTTTACCTTCTAGTGTCGGTTCATCAATGTGCTCTGTGTGTAAGGTGTGTTGTATAATGCTATTTTACCTTCTAGTGTCGGTTCATCACACCGTGTCATATTACATCCATACGATAAACATTTCTTGACATCGGGGCACGGGTTTGAAACCTCGCAATAATTAGGATGACAGTTTCGGACAGCTACGGTCGATAGATATTCGTTGACAATTTCTCCAAATGGAATCTCCATAGTCGGCACACTCGCGCCGTCTTGAGAGTTGCCGTTATTGTTGAAATTAAAATGTGTCTGGGATAGATTCGAGCTGGGTGTAGATGTAGTCGCTGAGTCATCGGTGTGTCCAAACATCGCCAGCATATCATCTAATGAAACCGCCAATGTTTCTCTGGTTAGTCCAGAGATGATCAAAGTCACGAGACAAATGATACGAACCATTTTGGCGATCTGGAAATAAATTGTAAATACATTAACATTTATTCAAGAATCGAAATTAAATTAAAAATAGAATTTAAAAAATATTTTGTTTCATTAGAAGACAAATGAAACATTATACGGGCGTTCAACAAGAGAGGACTGCAGCCAATCAAACAGCTCGAGACATCTGTGTGCATAAACCACTAGCTCGCTATACCAGCGCTAGAATCTTTTGATGACGTCACGCCCGACACGAACGGGCTTTGTCAGTCGTGGGAGGGACCTGCCCTGACGCCATATGTCCAGGGAGGTTCAGACATTTGTTTCAGACATTAATTCCAGATATTTGTGCCCAACATTTGTTCCAGACATTCTTTGCTTGCACGACAAATTATTTGTTGGGGCAGCAGAATATAGTCCGGCGTTCAACTTTAATGAGTCAACATTGCAGTTTCCATGACAACCATGTTTGTAGAGTAGTGGTAGGAGACGGCACGGTCGAGCAGGAGTGAGTCTTGTTACTAACTCCAGAAGTGGAGAGCTCACACGATTTGGAGGGGCCCACAATTTGGAGAGCTTACACGTTTTGGAGGGGCCCACAATTTGGAGACCTCGCACGATTTGAAGGGGCCCACAATTTGGAGAGCTAACACGATTTGGAGGGGCCCACAATTTGGAGAGCTTACACGATTTGGAGGGGCCCACAATTTGGAGACCTCGCACGATTTGAAGGGGCCCACAATTTGGAGAGCTTACACGATTTGGAGGGGCCCACAATTTGGAGACCTCGCACGATTTGAAGGGGCCCACAATTTGGAGAGCTTACACGATTTGGAGGGGCCCACAATTTGGAGACCTCGCACGATTTGAAGGGGCCCACAATATGGTAGGGCCCAACACAAAAGTGGGCTCCCACGAATCTCAATTCTGCATGGGCCAATGGGTATCAAAATACTCTAGAAAACAGTTCATCAAACCTGACTCTAATTAAAACATATACCGCGGTACTAATTAATAATTTTTACAAGCTTTTATTTAACTCACTTCCTCTGTCTGTTGTCAGTCGTCAGTCTAGATCGAAACACCCAAGCGAAATTACGGGCACTTCTAAGTGACAGGTACGGTTCTTAGTTGTTACGTGGGTCAAGACATGAAGACAGTGCATCCTGACATTAAATTCGACCTAATTGGATGCCTAATTATTTTTTTATGAATTAATTAAAATTTTGACCAAATTAGTAGGCAGTCTTATCCAACTACTCCGCACTATTAGACATGTATCAGCACGTTTAATAGGTGCGCAATGGTTTTTAGTCATGTAACTCTATTGTAAAAAAAACATGTAAAGTACTGAAAAAAAATATATAAAAAAGTTTTAATAACAAGCTCTTATGTAATAATGCACTAAGAAGTAAAAAATAAATTATACACTACTATTTAAATAGTTTTAAAGAAAAGCGTGGCTCTCTTCTCAAATATTAGTAAAGGTATTCAATAGGTACCAAAGTGACCCACGCTTTTCTTTATAGTTATTTAAATAGTAGTGTATAATTTATTTTCTACTTTTTAGTGCATTATTACATAAGAGCTTGTTATTAAAACGTTTTTAATGAATTTTTACAATAAGTCATTGAAAAGAAACTCACGCGTTACAATGTTTCCTATTCGCAATCCAAACCTCCCATTACACACATACACTTACAGCAGACGACTACACCGTGTTTGACTGCTACAACCCAACCCCCAACTATCACTGGCGCTAAGTGGGTTCGTATTGTGCTGCGCGAACTGGCTCGTTCCACGCGAACTGGCTCGTCCCACGCGTGTCCGGAAATACAAGAACATCCGCGTGGCTAACCCGCGGCGTCAGTCATCAAAACCTGACTCAAGATACACAACACAACATGGCCCACAAACTTAACTACCAGTCCACTAACTTAACTACTAGCCCACAAACTTAGCTACCAGCCCACTAATTTAACTACCAGCCCACAAACTTAGCTACCAGCCCACTAACTTAACTACCAGCCCACAATATATGGCCCACAAACTAAACTACCAGCCCACACACTTAACTGTCAGCCCACACATTTATCTACCATCCCACAAACTATGGCCCACAAACTAAACTACAAGCCCACAAACTTAACTACCAGCCCACACACTTAACTACCAGCCCACAAACTTAAGTACCATCCCACAAACTATGGCCCACAAACTAAACTACAAGCCCACAAACTTAACTACCAGCCCACACACTTAACTATCAGCCCACACATTTATCTACCAGCCCACAAACTTAAGTACCAGCCCACAATATATGGCCCACAAACTTAAGTACCTGCCCACAATATATGGCCCACAAAAAACTAAACTTCCAGCTCACAAACTAAGACCCACAAACTAAACTACCAGTCCACAAACTAAACTACCTGCCCACAAACTTAAGTACCAGCCCACAATATATGGCCCACAAAAAAACTAAACTACCAGCCCACAAACACTGGACCTAATAAGCAACTAACAAAACCGACTTTTTCACCAGGTATAAATATGTATCACGCTTCCATGTAACTATCAAACCACTCCCTCTGTTATTTAATATTTATCGTTTTACCATGTAACTATCAAACCCCTCCCTCTGTTATTTAATATTTATCATTTTACCACGTAACTATCAAACCACTCCCTCTGTTATTTAATATTTATCATTTTACCATGTAACTATCAAACTCTGCCCACGCGCAGAGTTTATGTAATACGTCTCTTGCGAGAACCAGCATTTCATGATGCTTGCGGTTACACCATGACTAAGGTGTGCCACCCACCTTGCTCAAATTGTGCAAGAGAGCGAAGAAAATATTAAACGTGAATATTAAGTTCTCAATTGTAACGATTCTGCATGAATTGCCATCTTCAATGCCTTCAAGGTTAACCGTTCGACACCACCGCCCACCTTCACTATATCAACGCCACCATTTCGTAACCTATGAGAAGATTGCGAAATATAACACAATATATTTAGGACAGGTCTACCCCCTAGCACCCCCCCCCCATTCAATAAACATATAGGATACATGGATGGGGAGTTACACAATAATATTTGGCAATATTTATTTCACGACCTTCGCAGAACTAACATCATGTGGTGCCTGTTGCTATGTAATGCTAGCTTGACATTACAATCACAAACACAGTGACATTTGTCGCTAGCTTGACACTACAATCACAAACACAGTGACATTTGTCACTAGCTTTACATTACAATCACAAACACAGTGACATTTGTCACTAGCTTGACATTACAATCACAAACACAGTGACATTTGACACTAGCTTGACATTACTATCACAAACACAGTGACATTTGACAATATAAGTTGCCTGGTGCCATATTGTTGGTGGAATGAGACCAACAGAGAAAACTACAAGTGCCTGTAGGTCACGATCTGTTCTTTATCAGATAAGTATCAAGCTGGTTGAGTATATTATATCCTGGACTGTTAGCTTGCCCCCCCCCTTCCCCCATCCTTCCTGTCCACAAAGTGGGACACGAGCATCCTGAAGGCCAGGAATTTTAAGGAAACTTTTCCCGGCACGGCGACCACCAGGCTGAGTACTTAAAGTGCTGACATGTCCGTCATATTTCAGATTTGTACAAACGTCAGTCTTGTCCATCTACCATCATTTTAGCCTTGACTCTACCCCATCTACCATCATGTTTGTCCCTACCCCATCTACCATCATGTTTGTCCCTACCCCATCTACCATCATGTTTGTCCCTACCTCATCTACCATCATGTTTGTCACTACCCCATCTACCATCATGTTTGTCCCTACCCCATCTACCATCATGTTTGTCCCTACCCCATCTACCATCATGTTTGTCCCTACCCCATCTACCATCATGTTTGTCCCTACCCCATCTACCATCATGTTTGTCCCTACCTCATCTACCATCATGTTTGTCCCTACCCCATCTACCATCATGTTTGTCCCTACCCCATCTACCATCATGTTTGTCCCTACCCCATCTACCATCATGTTTGTCCCTACCCCATCTACCATCATGTTTGTCCCTACCCCATCTACCATCATGTTTGTCCCTACCTCATCTACCATCATGTTTGTCCCTACCCCATCTACCATCATGTTTGTCCCTACCCCATCTACCATCATGTTTGTCCCTACCCCATCTACCATCATGTTTGTCCCTACCCCATCTACCATCATGTTTGTCCCTACCCCATCTACCATCATGTTTGTCCCTACCCCATCTACCATCATGTTTGTCCCTACCCCATCTACCATCATGTTTGTCCCTACCCCATCTACCATCATGTTTGTCATTGGGTGGAAGGGAAACAACCCGTACACCACAGTCTATGTACAGCAGAACTTAACCCGTTCACCACAATCTATGTACAGCAGAACTAAAGGAAACAAACCGTTCACCACATCCTTGTTAAAACAAATAATTAATTAGGACCGACTAACACGCAGTAACTTACAATGACGCCACATTTTAACAAAGGGAGCTACCTACAGCGGGAACTGATTTTTTAAAGTGTTTAGTTCCTGGGAGATACCTTTTCTCCACTGGTCAAGTACACTTGCTACATGACTCACTCACCCATATATATATATATATATATATATATATATATATATATATATATATATATATATATATATATATGTGTTCATCTTTAATCTGTTAATAATACAGTTGGATGCAGCATTGTTTTCTTAAAAGCACGTTTACGTCATGGTATCACCACTCCCCCTTGTAATAATTGACGATCTGTACTTAAAAGACTATTTAACTATAATTAATCATTAATGGAAATGGCAAAAAATTATTTTTCTTCTGTACATTTCTGTACATGGTGTCACCCCTCAAAATGGTGTCACCCGGTGCGGTCCGCACCCCCCGCCCCGCCCTCGCTACACCTCTGCATCCAACCACGGGAGCATGATGTCCACACGGTGTGGCAGGGGTTCAAAAAGTCGATTTGTGTGGACGAGTGGACTGGGGTCGGGTCCTTAAGAACCGCTTATTAAATTTAAGTTTTCTTTTTTAATTACGACTATTCAGCAACAAACACAAAATTAAAACCTACAAAACAAAAATGTACACATCTAAACGCCAGTGCTCAGGTTAAAAAAAACAACTTCTCCAACCGAGAGTGTGTATGACGATACACACAGCTGTCGCCTTTCCATTTATACCTGAAGATTTGACAGTTTAAGAAAATGTAAATTGAGACAGAAACAAACGTAAAGTTGTCTCCAGATGACGTTCAAACCAGTCGGGGGGGGGGGGGGGGGGGGTGAAAACCTGTAGGAGCTAGATGTCAGCTAACTGATCAGTAGCTGGCTAGCGGCTAGCTGGCTGTCTGAAGAAAAGCTGACCAGCTATACGACCATCAAGTGAAACATTTCATTTATCTTCTTCAATATTGTATCAACCTAGACATCACCAGATCAACCTAGACATCACCAGATCAACCTAGACATCACCAGATCAACCTAGACATCACCAGATCAACCTAGACATCATAAGATAAACCGTGAATAAAAGTTCAATTAAAACGTGCCATAACTTCGGAGAATGAATACGGTGACTCAGTCGACCGTAAGGCAAGGGACGTAATCGGTTCATCAGCGCAGACAATAATCAGAATATAGCGGCAGACACCCAGGAATGTTTTAAAGGAGGATTTTAAAAACAAAAAGAAAACGGTGACAGAATATAGTTATAAAACTAGGATTTGTTCATAAAATTGTCATTCAATGCAGTCTTGTAACTAAAATAAGAATAGAAAAAAAAATGGATGTAAATAAATTTTGGTGAAAACAAAAATTCAATATTCAACCTCTAATCAACTCATCATTCAACGGCTTTCAGCTTGAATTATCATTCACTTATCTGCTATATGCTACTCCACCCATCATTCACTTATCTGCTATATGCCACTCCACCCATCATTCACTTATCTGCCTTCACTATGCCACTTAAAAAATCATCTGGCCATCACAGATACAGCCATACATGTAGCCATCACATCACAGATACATCCATACATGTAGCCATCACATCACAGATACATCCATACATGTAGCCATCACATCACAGATACAGCCATACATGTAGCCATCACATCACAGATACATCCATACATGTAGCCATCACATCACAGATACATCCATACATGTAGCCATCACATCACAGATACATCCATACATGTAGCCATCACATCACAGATACATCCATACATGTAGCCATCAAATCACAGATACATCCATACATGTAGCCATCACATCACAGATACATCCATACATGTAGCCATCAAATCACAGATACATCCATACATGTAGCCATCACATCACAGATACATCCATACATGTAGCCATCACATCACAGATACATCCATACATGTAGCCATCACATCACAGATACATCCATATATGTAGCCATCACATCACAGATACAGCCATACATCTAGCCATCACATATACAGCCATACATGTAGCCATCACTAATCATGAAACAGGACTCAAGCGAAGGAGGAAGTTGTCAAGACAGCTAATCCTAATGTCACCAACTTTGATTTTTTCACCAGATATTTGCTCTCGTTACGTTTTTTCCACCAGATATTTGCACTAGTTACAACAAAGGACGACAGCAGCGGTTCTCAAACTGCATGCGTGGCACACGTCTAAAGCTGGGTCTATTAAAAAATATCTGCCTATAACACGTAGGCTATAACACCAGTACACCTATATCATAGGCTAAAACACCAACACACCTTTATCATAGGCTAAAACACCAACACACCTATATCATAGGCTAAAACA